CTTAAAATAAAGGAAACGTTTTCTAACTGCCTGTCAAATTAAATGCACTTTTCACTGCATATTTTGAACTATTCCCAAGCTATTTACTATATAGAGCCCAACTCCTCCGTTAGTTTATCCAATAAATACTAGTCTATAAATTACCAGGCATTTCCTCTGGCTATTCCAAACAATTTCGATTGCTCGAAAATATCTAGCAAAGTACTTAACATGATTCGCCATAAATTACCATTTGGGAGCTGATATCTAACACAAAACTCAAGTGCAGCCTCCCCCCTTATAAAGAGATACCATACAGATACACACACATACACACATAAATATGCATACATATGTATGTATGTAATTACACCCGCAACGAAATGAACGAACATGCGGAAAAGAAAGCTTCCAAAATGATCAACGCGCCGGGCCCCAACAATATATTGTTGTGTACGCCCCCCGATTTATGGCTGTGGTACCAAAAGTGAATAGAATTAGAAAAACCGAAAAGAACAAAGAGCATAACATAAAAGAGCAGAGAGCAACGCGCCACGAGAAATGGCCCCGCACATGTCCACGAACTTATCTAATACTATGGATACCGTTACTTGAGGTCACTGGCCCACACAGAGAACTGCACTTGTGTACAACAAACAGACGACAGCGACACGCACAAACACACACACACACCCATACAAGGCACAGGCACGCACACGCACGCACTCTCTCGCTCACGCACAAGCAATAACAATGCTCAGCCGTCGGTTATGTCATGCACATCAAATCCATTTGGTGGGAAATTTAAGCTGAGCGTTTTATCGCATTTGAGTGCGAGTCGTTTGAGTGTTATTTATGCAGGCCAATTTGTTGGGCATTTTGTTGTCAGTTCGAGTACTTTTTTTTGGGGGGAAATTTGAAACGTTTTGAGCGCGTTGCATTTAGGTGGGTAATTTGTTGTTGCCGTTGAGTTTCTTCTGGCTTAAGCGTTTATATATTGAGTAATATATTGAAAATTTAAAAAATTGCAATCAACTAATTTTTAAAGCCCGCAAAAATTGAAGTTACAAAATATAAAAACAATGCTTAATTTCGTTATTTTTAAAAGTCTGTGGAGTTAAAATAAAATATTTTAATTTATTTATTTAAACAAATTTAATTCTACTAAACTGCAAATTTACATTATTAAAAAATTGCGATTACAATACTTTTAAAGTCCAAATAATAAAAAATAATCAAAATGTATTAGAAAACCTCAAAAGAAAAACTATTCCAAAATTTATATCTCATCAGTTTTCTAAGTCAATGGAACTTGTTAAAATTCCTTTTCAAAAAAGTTATTTTTTTAAAACCCAAAATTAAAAACAAATTATTTAATAATTTGTAAAGGCCCACGTAATTTTATAATATTTCCTTTTTTGAAATGTTTTTCAAGCGAGTTTTGCATTCTAATTCCAATGATAAAATATGAAGTTGACTCATAAATTAGTTCTAGTGTAAATAAAATAAATGAATCGCTTTCTAAGTAGGATTCTGGGAATTTACAAAATATCTGCATAAAATGAATATTTTTAAGTATTTCATTTGAAGCTGTTCTAACAGCTATTCCACAACAACAGAAAGTTAACGCTCAACAATTACCCTACTCAAACAGCCGAACTAATCCAAACTTGCGCACAAAACACACTCAAACGGGATTAAAAAAAAAGAATTTCCCTCCTCTCTACGCCCGCCCACTTGGATCTGGTAAAAACAGCTGTTTGAAATGCGCAAACTCCAAGCGACTACGCAATGCAATTGAAATTGATTTTGCTTAGCGGCGGGGAGAGACGAACGAACGGAGCAGCACAGCCCGTAGACAGCCACCACCAAAATATAATGGACACCAGGGAAATTTGGGAAAAACAAAAATTCTTATATGACCCATTTACGGGGCGTAGAGTTCAAAGACCTTTTACGGGCGGCGGCGGCGGCGGCGGCGCAAGCGAGCTTCCAGAATGCGGCGAGTCAAGACCCAAAAATCATTGGGCGCTTATGCCTCTTACTTTCTGTATCTAATTTAATATATATATATATGTATGTATTTGTTTTTACAGCAACTGCAACTGTTTTCTGGTTGTGTGGGTGGCTTTTGGGCGCTCATGATGTCACTTGTAGGCTTGCTTGCCCGCGGATACTCCGGGGTGGAAATGCATAATCAGCTCGCGCTTTCTTCCATTTAATGTGCGTGTCCCAAGCTGTGGATTGGTAAGCTATCATATCATGGTGGTTGCTAGCTCTCGGACTCCCCCCTTCCCCACCCTCCCACTTCCCATATCAAGCCAACCCTCCCTCCATCAGACTAAAATAAAGTACTTGTCCAATTTGATTTTTGTTACATGGCTTAGCTTGACCCATATTCAAGCGTACCCTGTTAATTTGATGAATTGTCATTTCTTTTATCTCATTTGATTTGATGGCAAGATTTTGATAATATATCATTCAATATAATAGAAGAGTTTAGACTGTGTCTATGGGGCAGGTTTTTCAGTATATCGACAACAAGCTAATTTATTTTATATCAAGAAAAATATTTTTTAATTTCCTAATTAAAATGCAAGCCCAACTATTCAAGTAATATCTAAGTTAATGTTAATCTAGTATACATTTTAATTACTAAAATACTTTACTTTTTCACTATTGAAAGCTTTTAGAACTGAACGGAAAAAAGATAATACTAAGGGACTATAATAATTAGCTAATTAACAATATAAGAGATATAGCTTTAATTTTGCTAATCCGAAGATTTAATACCCTTATAGACTTTTCCCAGACGGGTTTGCAGATATGTGAGAAGAGCGAAGCTCGTAAATGCTTAATTTGACAAAATTAACAAAATATTTTTCCATTTTTCCTTCCCTTCGACCGATTCTTCCATATAGCTATATGATATAGTGGACCGATGTTCATAAGATTTTGCATATATGTAGAGAGCATAGTAAAACATAGCAATGCGGAGTTTGGGTGAGAATTCTTGATAAACACAAAATTGTTCTTACAAGTAACTACTTCTCTAAAGATTGTTCCCATGGTAGATATGATATAGTAGTCCGATCCAGCCAGTTTCGACATATGTTCTGCTTGCAACAGCAGGAAGGACCTATACAAGGTTTCAAGAGGAAAGATTTAGATTTCATAGAGTTCGCATAGAAACAGGGAGAAGACAAACAAACAGACGGACGGACGGACAGATGGATAGACAGACAGAAGCGAGACATGGCTTTATCAACTGGCAATATATATACTTTATGGGGTCGGATATCTCCCCTTCTATGCTTTACACATTTCATGACAAAATAATAATATCCTCTACTAGGGTAAACAAATATGTCACAAAATATGATTCCCCCACAGCCTAATATGGTTCAAGAACTCTAGAATTTTAATAGGCTCATAATTGAAAGAAATGTTCAACAATCTAGGCAGCTCCTCAAAGGAAGCCACAAACCAAGCTGACCAGAAAAAGAAAAAACAAAGGCATACAAAAATATATTCAAAAACAAGACGTCAAACTGGAATGCAGCACCAGAAAGCGATCAAAAATTGAACGTAATATAAGCTTCATTCAAAAATTCTTGGGTGTCAATATATATTTATATGGATATTTTTATGTATACGTTCGGCGCTGCGCCGAAAAGCCAAAAGAAAACAAACGCCGCGAATCTGGCCAAATATAAAAAAGGAAAGTTCAAGAACCCCATGAAAGCGTCAGCGCGCAGATACATCGACACCAGGCGAGAGGGGCGGAGAAGGGGGAGGGGGTTGGTTGGTGGGGTGTGGTTGGAGGGCACGGACCAAGGGGAAGCACGGACTGTCTCACTGTTGAATGGCGACCGCGACCTCCCCTCGACGCAATGGACAAACAAAATTTCCCCGCGCACTCACCAAAAACGAAAGTGAGTCTTGTGCTAACCCACCCCCTCCCCCCCCCACAAATCTCTCCGCAAGAAAAGTTCTGGTTTTCCTTTTCTCTTTTCATTTTTTTTTTTTGGCGCAGCACTAGAAAAGCATTGGCTGCGCCAAAGTTCATTGAACTTGTTTGGAAATTCGGAAGCAGAATTCATTTGTTGAAGTTCTCGCAAGTGGAGCCCATGTCTACCCCACATTCGAAGAGACATGCTGGCCGCTTGGTGGTTGAAATGCTTCCACAACACACAACACACAACACACACACACGCACATTTTGTTGTCAAATTGGTTAATTTACGTATGTGCCGGCCACAGCCCTATGCCTACGCACTTGCAAAGAGTTTTCCTGTTTTCCAGAGTGAGGCATAAAGGCATAAAGCTGATTTTGTTCGGCGTGTTCGCATTTTATCATTTTATTTTCCACACATTTTCCATGTATTTGCATTGCGCATATTTTTACTCACAAAGCTGGTTATAGGGTATCTTCTAGTCGGTCAAAATCGACTAGAGCCAGCTTGAAATAATTTTGAACTGTATTTGAAATGAATAAAACTTCAATCAAACAAGATTTTTTAAGTCCCAATCCGATTGGATGCAATTTAGGAATTTCCCTCATTTTTCACGCATGGCGGCAGAATTTCGAAATGGGTGAAAACATTTTAAAAGAATTTCCAAATCGTTTCTTTTAATATTCTAGTTTGAAGCCTGATGTAAAATAAAAAACCGTTTTCCCCCTATTTTTCACCCTTGTCAGTGGAATAACTCCAAATGTTATAAAATGTTGTCAAAAATTCAGCTTCTAAGCTGAATAAACACATATACAACAAATGTAAAATAGGTGGGATTTTGTGTGGTAACTACTTACAGACATTTCCAATTTTCCATTTTACATAATACTTTATTTGAATTCCATAAATTTCCTCACTGTTTGAATAACCAAAATATCTTTATGATTGATGATGACAAATGGGTGGGTGCAAAAATATGAAAAATTATCCGTTTTGTTGATTTTGAAAAAAAAATATGTTGCATATTTTGTGGCATATTGTGAATGAATCGAAATGGAGCACAAATTTTGGTCATGCTTTGTCATCTACTGACTCGACGTCTAAAAGAATTAATTGAGTTTTTGTGAATCAATTTTTATGTTGAATGTTTTTCGAACTTACTTATTTTGAGTTGAGAAATTTGTTTGCTTTTTTTCTTGTTTAATCCAAAATTGAAATTTTGAAAGATTTCGTTATTTTAATCCAATTTGTAAGCCATTTTAAGCGGTTGTATATTGTCCGAATTCAGGTCGAAAATTTCATAATTTGTTGAGTTCGCAAAGTTCATAACAAATATTCTAACTAGACCTTAATATAACTGCCTAAGCACACACACACACACACACACACACACGCAGTCCACTTTCCATAGTATATATATTACATTGAAATATATTTAAACTAATTTCTGTTTACAAACGATAATCGGCTGAGCATAAGACGCGTACAATTTAATTACATCCCAGTTTTGTTTTCTTTTCTCTTCTTTTTTTTATTTCATTACAACTTGCTGGTCGTTTTCTTTGTAGCTTAATAAAAAATATATATATTGGATGTTATGTGTATAAATATTTATAATCAATTTGTTTCATAATCTTCTCTCTGTTCAATTTTGCATTGAAGCAAGCAACAACCAATTTTAACTAATTCTCTGCATTAACGTTAATAATACGAACGTTAAAATTTCAAAAATTTTTAAAATATATAAAATAATGTAGATAATTTGTTTTTGTAAAAGAAAGCTGCCCAAAAAAAATGTCTACTGTAAACCAATCAATTTTATGTTCCAACGAGTGTGTCACAAATTTTGTTAACAATTCAATTGTGTCTCTGAGTGTGTGTGTGTGTGTGTGTGTCTGTGCCTGATTGTGTGTTTGTGTGTGCAGTTGTGTGTTTGTATTTAAAATATACTTAGTTAGCTTATGATTTTGCTGCTTGCTTGTCAATTTGATTGTGGTTCATATATTTGTTGCTGCTTTGCGGGCTCTACTGCGCCGGCGCCGGCTGTGGCTGCGGTGCCAGACGATTCACGAATCCAATGCCGCCGCGTATGATCTTGCCAACGACTGGCGGCGACCGGGCGGCCAGCGTCTCAAATGTGATGCGCAGCTCGGCGAATGCGGTGCGCGGATAGGGATTGCGACGCGAGCTATAACGCATGACCAGGTAGTGATAATAGATAATGGGCGTCATCAAACCAGCATGGGCCCTGTACAAAAACAAAATCCAAAGATTAGCCAAAATATTGAAATATGTATATATGTTGCCTGGCGGCACACCATTTTCCGAAACCTTTTGTTTTCCTTAACCAGCCAGGCGTGAATTTTTTAAATGTAGTTTAAATGAGTTTAAATCAAAATCTTTGCCCACAATAGTTGGTTCAATTTTCACCTAGCTGGATTTTGCGTAATGTGTGAAACACGTCTGAAATGTATTTATCCAAAGTTCTTTACAAATAAGTTAGCCTTACTTGAAGGTTTTGCGAATCGCATAGAAGGGTGTGGTTAAACATAAGTACGTTTAATAAGGGGGCGAGCATGAGGAAGAGTAAGACTTGGACAAGAATTAGAGAAAGTCAGTTATTACATCACTTGAAGGTTTTGCGAATCGCATAGAACGGCTTTGTTAAAAGAGTGGGAAAGTAAGACCAGGACAAGAGTTGGATTATTTTATTAGCCTTACTTGTAGGTTTTGTGAATCGCATAGAAAGGCATTAAACAAAAATCGGCTGGTAACAAAAATGTTCATAAAATCTTTTTCCGCTAATTTTTTACAGTTGTGTGTGGAATATACAAAATCCCCGCCTTACTTCACATATGGAGAGTACTGCTTTTAGCTCTTACGGCTTAGTATGTGTAATATATGATATATATACATATATATATTGATCCGAGTTTCAAATCCTAATGTGCAGCCATATTTCATATATACATAAATAGTTTATAGTACTTACATAAAGGTCAACACAATGGCGTAGGGCATAATGAAAATCTCGCAGAATGCGATAGCCTTCAGTATATTGGCCGCCTTATATTCCACAATTGAGATGACAAAACGTGCGGTCCACCAAGAATTTTGACCAATAAGCTAAAAAGGGAAAACAAGTTATATTAGCAGGCTGGTCCAAGTAGCTCACTTAACATTTTACTTACATCCAACAGCTTGAGCGAATAGCTGGACGCATGCAGTACCGAGTAGAGTGCAACGGGGATGAGCACTAGCAATGTGGGACGAATGCTAAAGAAGATCAGCGAGTACATCATATAATGACACGAGTCTTCGGCAAACAAACGTGACAGAAATTCGCGGCTGAACGAGAACGCAGGCACACGCTGATGCAAACGCAGCGCCGAGATGGCCGCATTCGCAAGCAACACCTTGTTGAAAGCGCTCTGCTGTGAGCTAAAAAGACATCAAATAGAGTTGAGGATTAGCCAGTTAGTTGTTGTAGTTGTTTAAGTTTAAAGCATATAAAGCGTAAGCCTACAAATCGATGTTGGTCTGCCTATCTTTGAGAGGTTATCAGAACTAGCGATATGTAATTTTGTTAAGCATACACAGATTATCCTTATTTTATTCATTTATAATGCCCTTCTATGCTATTCGAAAAACCTTCGAGTAAGGCTTATATAACAAACTGTCTTTTTCTTAGCCTTGTCCTAGTCTATTTTTCCCTCACGTTATTTCCCCTATTAAACGGATTTAGGTTTAACAACGCCTTTCTATGCGATTCACAAAAGCTTCGAGGATTGTATATTTAATTGGCATTATCTTACCCTCGGTACATCCTCACTTTCCCATACTATCTCTCCCTTTCTCTCTGTCATCTTACTCTCTTACTATAACTTGCTTCTAGCTGCTATTTCTGAACTCTTTCCAACTTTTGTACAAATCTTGCCTGTCAGTCTAAGTTTCTCAATTTTTCTTAGTTACTCTACCTTTTTTTTAACTGGATTTCCCTCTTTTACTCTCACATACACACTCACCCTCCCTCTTAGACTTTCCATTCTAAATATCTTCTTCGCCTCTCTATGCGATTTTCATGTTATCAATTGAGGTAAAGTAATTTGTTTACATAAGAATTTGTGAATGTAGATGACTAAATACAATTGTAAAAGACCTTCCGACCCAGGCTACACATTTTTCACCCATTTCTCAGTTTTGTAGGTGATCAAAAATTTGTTTTATACGAATATACAAAATATTTAAGTACTTACGTGAATATGGGCAATACATAGCTGACGGTAAAGAAGATAACTAGCAGACGTAACGCCCAAAGCGCCGAATCGATGCGGTTTGTTTGGAAATGCTGGAGCAGCCTTGCTGTAGCATTTTGTGATGTCTGCTGCTGCTGCTGCTGTTCCTGCTGCTGTTGTTGTTGTTGTTGTTGTTGCTGTGATGTGGTTGATGAGCTTGGCTGTGCATCGCCCTGGGCGGTGTCAAAGCTCGGCTGTTGCTGTTCAGTTGTCGCACTCATGCTTGTAGTGTTCCTCTAGAGCTCTCTGCTGATATTCCGGTCTGCAAGTTGGTTATCAAAGAAGTCAAATAAATACCATTAGAAACCTTATCACACTGTGACAATACAAACAGAGAGCTGCCCCTTATCAACACTTTACTAATCGTTGGCCTGATAAACTTTAAATACTTGGTCTACAACTGGTATTTGGTGGACGTAATATTAAGAACTAAAGAATTTTTTAATAGAGAAATATATGTATATCTAATTAAGAGAAAACGTACGCTTGAAGTATATCGCCTGGTTACAGATTCTACTCTCTTTTTTAATATTCCGCTGTCAGCTATTAAATATAATTATTATTTCGCTTTTTACGGGTCACAACGTGCATTGTCATGATAAAAATGGTTGATATAGAGTTAAGACGAGGGCGGTTCAACAGGTAACTGAGAGTTATCTAAAAGGCAGCCTGAGCTGCCGCGTATGATTATTATTTTAAAATATTTTTCACATTTCCCAAAATCTACTCTGATATAGATATGACTTTTAACTAAGAAACTGCTTCTTTGTAAGCCTTGCAAGTAATATTATTTATGGCTAGACTCTAAATTGGGGAAAAATTGGTTTTTGAGTCAAAAATCTTTAACAATCAGAATAAGACTCGATTTCTGATTCTGATATTCATTATAAAAATAAGGTTCACTTCTCCATGTTAACCCTTGCTTAGGGCTTTACAATTTTGACAAGAAATATGTAAGACATATGTAAGGGTTAACATTCTGACTTGACAGACAAATATGTGTATATAACAGCTTTATTTTTTTTCCAGATATTTTGTTTTTTTAATTCGCTTTACAGTACCATATAACACCTACAGGCACAATCAATCAGCAAATTTAGATTAAAAACGTTATAACTGTTATACGTGTTTATATCTGTTATACGTGTTTTTATTAATCTTCGGTAGACCAAAAAGATAACTGTTCTCGTTGCACTCGTTAGCTTTGATAGGTTTTTTTTTAAAGAAACGCGCTTTTAATTGTAATTTACATAGACGTAAGTATTGTGTCGTAAAAACAAAACAAAAACCAGTTGAATGGAAAGTTGCACACACACTGACACACATAGGCACACACACACACACACACACACAGAGACACGCTTAATGTCGAAGGCGTGTACAGCGTTGCCAAAGAGGCGTTAATGTTCGGGTCTGGCAACTGAGTATGAAGTAGCGGCAGATATCTTGACTGCAATTATGGCCAAGTTTTGTAAGAGTCACACAAAAAAAAGCACACAAAAATAAAATGTCAATTGAAAAAGCAAACGTAACTCGACTAGTTTAATATCCACACATCAATTTAAACAAATGATATTGTCTTCAAATTTAAACGACCTCAACTTAAGACTTTAATTGTATTTATTATGCTTTTTAAAAGCCGCACAGAAAGTTTTTATTGAAATCAAAAATGAACTTAACGAGCCACAACAATTAAATGAGTTTCTAACGAAATTCAAAAATGTTGAAGATTACTTCAATTGTGGAGCCGTAAGTTATGAGTTTCCAGCTTAGCTTCAGCGAATAGCAAAACAGACTGATGAGATGCCAAACCACTGACAAAGTAACCACAATGTGCATGTCGTTACGACATACACGTCAAAACAACAACAAACACATACACAAGCACACACACACACGCACACACCTAGACTATTGCCCAAACAGGTGGCAGACACACAACGTACAGAGAGGGGGCGTCAGACCCGAGAGAGAAAGAGAGAATGAGAGTGCAAAGAAAAGTGCGACGGCGTAACGTGGGTAGGAAACGAGCTTGAAAACTGGCGGAAACATTTCGCAATCATTAACAGTGTTGACTGATATCGCCTGATTATTATCAAATTTGAATATTTTTAAGAGCAATACATTTTTGAATAGCCTTTTTTTATATTTAAAGAGATTTGGATTTAATATAAATAACATATGAAAGGAGTAATATATTATTGCAATTTTTTATTCATACATTTAAACATAATTAAAGAAAACTATGAAATTTTTAGTAATTACGAATTCAAAAATCTGGCAGCTTTAGCAAAACTCATTTTAGCTGTTTTTCTTCCTCAACTTTAGCAGCTTTTTCGTTTGTCAAATAGTTAGGCAACACTGATGATAATGCACAGGTGAAGCGAAACGTTATTGACAGTCCCTGGTGGTCATTAAGGGCAATCATACCGTATGCATATTGGTGGGCCGAGAACCAATATTGATTTTGGTAAATGATGTCCTTTTGATACAAACTAGGTCGAGTTCAGCGCTAGATAATTAATTGCTCATTTGATATGCGCATTTTAGAATAAGGTCGATGAATAACTGAAATTTAATAACCAAAGTATTTCTGCTACATTGGTGGTTAAATCAAGCCGAACATGATGAAATCTACATAAGTAATAATGCGTAAACAAATGACGTCACGACTGGGCCCACGAGGAACACGTCAGTGTCAGCCGCCGTACACACAAAATTGGGGAACAAGGTGCGCGCTCTTATTGTGGGACATTTGATTGCGCTGATTGACATTGTTGAACTCTTTAGGCCCCACGTATGAAATGAGCATGACACAGCAAAATCAAAGCTTATACAAAAGCGCAGTTTAATTACATTTATAGCTTCGCTGGCAACTGGAAAAACGCACAAAATCGGGACTCAAATTGGTTACTTCCGTCTCTGTTATTTTTTGGGCAACACGTAGCAACAGCCGGCATAGCAAATCTGCAGCAGCACTAGTGACAGCGACCTGCATATTCTCGCCTGCTTGTACACATAAATAAATATCCACATATATACACCATCGTGTGGATATCATGGGTAAATTGGGTTATTAACCATTGCAGCCGCCTTTTTTTTTTTTTTTTGGATTTGGAACCCCTTTCTCACTAACACTAATGCACATGAGCTGCCGCGAACGCTGCAGTTGTAAAACATTTTGCGAATGTTGAAAAACTAACACTTTTTAATGTACGTAAACGTAGTTTGAAAGTAAAGCAAACTTACCCGCTTAAATGCAAATAACGCACAGCGTTGTTTTACTGTGTGAAATTAAATTAAATAAAATAAATGTGTCGACACGAACTTGCGATTGAATGACTATCGATAAATACTAATGCTGTACAGTAAAGAGTATCGATTACTAACCAGTGTATACACTGTTTTCAACTATCAGTTGGTAGCGCTATATCAGTGTGTGCATAACTTTCAATTGCCTTGCCATACAGCAACAGGCCAACCGCGTTATTTTATATTAATGGATTCACGATTAATAAAATCATAGCCATGGACAACGATGACATAACATTACCAGCGGACACCTTAGCTATATTGAATGAATTCCTAGCGGAACGTTCAAAGCGTGAACATGACGAAGAGCAGCGTTTGTTAAACAAAACTGGTAAAGATGCTCATTTCGAAGAGGATTGGGTAAAGGTTAATCCGGAAATTTGTGTTTTATTGCTAATTAGTGAATTGTTTCAGCAACTTAGTCAATTTTGGTACAGTGATCGTACGAAACGTGCAATAGGCGATGCAGTAGCCAAGCTTCTAAAGGAACATAACAGTTCAGACTTTCGCATTGCTTTATTATCATGTCCATCGCTGTATGCAACTATCAAAGATGTGCATGACCAAGGTATGCAATGGCAAAGAGTGTTAAGAATTATTTGACTATATAACCATTCCACTTTCAGTCAACATATTTGAGTACGATCAGCGATTCGCTGCCTATGGCACAGACTTTGTGCACTATGACTTCAATGCCGTGGACAGCTGCTCGGACTACCTAATTGAGCACCATAAATGCTATGATTTAATAATTGCCGACCCACCATTTCTCTCCGAGGAGTGCATGACCAAGATGTCAAAGATAATAATTAATTTACAGCGCAGCAGCGATTCCAAGCTGGTATTTTGTTCAGGCGAAGTGGTTGAGCCATGGCTAGTCGCCAGTTTGCCGCTGCACAAATGCAATTTTCGGCCGGAGCATGAACGTAATTTGGGCAATGAGTTTGTTAGTTTTGCCAACTTTAATTTTGACCATTATATTGAAAATAATAAATAACACATTGTTGTTCGTATCATCGGAGACTGTTAAATGCCTTGAATGGAAATTGTGTATGCATTTTTATTTTGCCGGTGCATCCGCTTCCTTGCGCTGCTGCACTAGCTCACGCAGTCCATCCTCTTGATCCTTAAGCGACTTTTGCAGAAATTCCTTCTTCTTTTCGAGCAACTCAATGGCCTTATCACATTTGTCCTGCTTGCTCTTTAGCTCACTGCGCATGTTGTCCAAATCAGTCAACAGAAACATGCGACCGACCGACATGTAGACCCTGAATTAACGCATCTTGATGAGTTTGCTTTCACAGCTTTTACTGCCTATAACGGACACACTCACCTTGTGTCATCTGTTAAATTGCTGGTGCTCTTCTCGGTTAGCGTATATTTCTGTTTACCCGTCTTGACCATGTCGCATTTCATGTCAATCATGTTTATCTTTTTCGTGGTATCCAATTTATTAATTTGCATTTCAGTGAAGGCCTATTTGGGTATTGGGTTAAAAACCGATGAGTGTTTTTTTTTCTTTGGGGGCACCACGCGCTGCCTACCGGCAGTCGCTTGGTTGAGTTTGACCTGCTCATTCACGTTACCTTCTTCAATTCCATATCCATTTGTGCCATTTTGTATTTGAGCTTTAGGCTGTTGCTTAGAAATATATTCAAGTATTTGTTTTAAGCACTAATTCTATGAAAATTTAAACACCTGCGTATACTTGAGGGTTTTGTAGATAGATAAGTAGATGGTGGAGGTCGGCCGATAGAACGCTGTGTAACTTTAGATAAATAAGTAGAAGATGGTGGTCGGTCGATAAAACCTTATCTTAAAACGATATTTTTTACTGCAAAGCTGAATATAAATATTTGTATATTCAAATGCATAAAATAACTATTTTATTTATTTATCAATACTATCCGCCCTTACATTCCATTATGTAAGCTACAAATAAATGTTGACAGACAATTATGACAGCTTTTAAATATATTCCGGTCGATGCGTTCATAGTTACAGCTGTTTTTCGTATGGTATTTAACTCGAGTTGTCATGTCAGTCTAAACTAAACTGTTTGTATAGCAGAGCCGTGTGTATTGTTTGATAAAAGTATAAAAGTTATGGCTTTTGTGTCTTCGCTGGTTCTTCATTTGTATAGTACCTGGGAAAAAGGATCACATAAGGATTTCACATCCTGACGTTTTTAATAATAGGGAATAACGTAAATATTGAATGCTCTAAAACATAGAACGAAAACTTCAATTGGCAACAAATGGAGAATAACAAAGTTCCGTACGATAAAAAGCAACCGCTTGCTAGCGATATTGATATTGGACTTGTCAAAATAGAGCAGGATGAGATGGCAGAGTTTAATATTATTGAGAAAATGGAATTGCACTGGGAGCAGACACAACAAAAGCAGCATCAACCAAAACCGTAAGCTGCTTTTTAACTGAACCCCTCAATTGGAATAACAACTATATCAATATATTATATTTTACAGATTTCATAGAGGTAAGACCTTATATATTCAGGATAAATCAATGCAAAGCACTCTGCAAGAGGAAATTGTAAAAATTGTAAAATTCATACTTTTTGGCATTTTTTAGTGCATTTCAAGATATCGCTTGTTTCGAAAGCAATAAATATGTAATTATACTTAATTCTAATATTGCAGGGCAACGAATGGTAAATTGGCGAGAAGCAGAAGTGAATTATCTCATTGATTTGGTCAAGAGCAATGCCTATGTTTGGAACAGTTCTGTGCCCGATTTCAAGAAGAAGCATAAGAAAGCTCTGTTTTGGGAGCAAGCTGCCGACAAAATAAATAAATCCCTACGACCACGGACTCCATTCACGCGAAGTACTTTAAATATATATACGATTTGTATTTAAATAAGCTAACTTATATTATGCTGTTTATTACAGATGATTGTTTTAAGAAATGGAACAATTTACGCACGTATTTCCAAGCGGAAGTCAAGGCCGTTAAGATAAAAAATAACGGTGGCACCTCGGATGCTGATGACAATATTGGAGGCGGCTGGAAATATAGCTCAAAAATGAGCTTTTTGATTGGCACCCGCTTGCCGCAAATATCTGTAAATACATTCAACAATAGCGATCAATCGGTAATTAAACAAATATTGTTTGTAATTTCTTAATTGTAATTACCTGTTTTTCAGGTGTTTGATACGACAACCAGTTTTTCGGACTCAAATGGAGAATCAGAAATGGAATCATGCGATCGCAGTGCTTTGGTGGAAGCATCAATCCAAGAACCTCAAGATAACGATTGCAGTCAGTCGAATGCCAATTTAGATGATTTGCATCAATCTTTACCTGACTCACCTCAGGCGAAACGCAAAAAAAATAATGAGCCTACGTACACGCCGGAAAATACTTTGCTCCACACGATGGCGAACAATGTGAATCAATTGACTGGCACCATGACAAGCCAGTTGCATAAAAGAGAGGAATCGCAGTCCTTTTACTATAGTAGTTATGTTGGTCAATGCTTGGATAAACTTGACCCGGATCTCAACTTAGAGGCAAGGGAAAAAATAAGCGAAATCTTATTTAAATACGAGAAAGCACAATTGAAGCGGTAATAGACTGAAATTCAGGTTATTTAAATATAATTGTGTTAGGCTACTTGTAAATAATTAAAAAGCATTTAATATAAGTTAGTAATATGCTTGTAGTCAATATCTAAGTTGAAAGTTAGGAACAAATGTGTTCACATCGGCAACAATCTTATGACTTGTTCTTTATGTGTCTAGACAATTGTAGAGATTATAAAAATAATTAATGTTATGAATAAAAGTTAACAATATGCATGTAGTCATTAAATGTAAGCATATAACAAATATGTTAATTTATTATGCGTGAGCTAAAGTCACATTTTAGTTTTATAGAGACTATAGAAATAATTAGAATAAGTTATGATTACGTAGATGTTCAATGTAAAGTACAATAATTACAAAGCTGCTAATTACGCCATAATTTGTGCTTTTCCTTACCTATTGAATGTGCGCTAAGTACAATCTAGGCCATTAAAGGGATTAACCTAGATTGGAGTAGAAAATGCCGGCACACGGAAGCCGTCCAACTGCGCCATAAACCACCACTGTGTGTACATTAAACACTCGCATTCATTTGCTTGAAAACATGGAACGCTGGCACAACAAGCTCGCTGTTGTCACGGGCGCCAGTGGAGGCATCGGGGCTGCCTGTGCCCGTGCCATGATTGGCGCTGGTTTACGTGTGGTGGGCCTGGCGCGTCGCGAGGCCAAGCTCAAGGAGCTGCGAGAGAGTCTGCCCAGCAATTTGCGGCAAAACTTTATACCAAGACGCTGTGATGTGTCCAAGGAGGAGCAGGTGCAGAGCGCGTTCGACTGGATTGAACGTGAGCTGGAGGGTGCGGACGTGCTGCTGAACAATGCGGGCATAACACGTGAAACGGAGCTGGTGACGCCGGGCAATACGCAAAAGCTGCGCGAAGTCATCGACACCAATATCATGGGCGTTATTTGGTGCACACGGGCAGCTTTCAATAATATGCTAAAGCGCGATGTCGAGGGTCATGTGCTGATAATCAACAGCATTGCGGGCCAGCAGGTACTGAATTTCATCGATGTATTGCCATCGTTCAACATATATCCGGCCACTAAGTTTGCCATTACGGCCATAACGGAAACATATCGTCAGGAGTTTCAGCTGCACAAGAGCAAGGTGCGCGTCACAGGCATTTGCCCGGGTGCAGTCAATACAAACATATTCCCAGAGGAAATACATTTCTATGTCAAGGATATGGTACGACTGGACCCGGCCAATATAGCCGATGCCGTGCTCTATGCATTACGCACGCCGCCGCATGTACAGGTAATTGGGTTACGACGTTTAGGATTTACTCAAATACTGAATTTCTGCTTTACAGATACACGAAATAACTATAAAGCCTATGGGTGAACTATTTTAGGTTGCACTTGGAATTTGATTTATAAAATATACGGAGCTACAACATATTATTAACTATGTGCGCTGGGGCTAAGTTTTCTTTTGCTCTCTACCAGTGGCCTTTAGGGCGTCTAATCGTTCGCGCAGCACCTGCTCGTTAAGACTGTGCATGCAGAGAAATTGGCCGTTGAGAAATAGCACGGGTATATCGTAGCGAAAGAGTCGCAGATAACGCACATTCTCCTTGCGATCGATAAACACTTTCCTCAGCTCGAATTCGCCAGAAAAATTCTTTTCCAGCTTGTCCACCAGCTCATCGCACAGCGGGCAAGGCTCCTTGGTGTAGAGCGTCAGCTGCGGCAGGCTTTCGGATTGACTGGGCGCTGGTATGCTAGAAAAAAAAAAAGGATCACACAGTCAATTACAAATTAAATGTTTGCCATAGCAACACACAATTACATTTTCTCAAGCACCATCAGCACGCATCGTCCATCGCCGGACTCCATGATGACGCAGCCGAGGCTGCCAGCGGGTAGGGCATGAACTGTGTGCGTCAACAAATGGCTTGCAGTGATTTGCCTAAAATCATGCGTGCGCACTTCGTTGACATTTAGTCCGGCCAATGCGCCCAGCTGCTCCTTTAGCTTCTCTTTAATGACTAGCTGCCAGCTGTGCACGTCATTTAATTTAATTGGCTGATCGCCGGTTAGCCGATATATTGCCTGTTCATTGTCGTGTTCTATGAAAAATTCGCGCACCACTGCAAGTGGCTGTAATTGAAGGCGCTCAGCTGTTTGCGCGGTGGTCAGTGCAACGGCTGCTGCGCCTGGGCACTCTGATGATGCTGGCTTCTCATGAAGATTCTCTTGAGGATGTCCGAATTGGAAACCTTCCGTTAGCAACTCGCTGTGGTTTATATCCTTTTCCTGCTGTTTGAGGTTCGCTCGCGTGTCGCCCAATATGATCCAACCCTCTTGATCATGCTGCAGGCTTTCCAACGACATTTGCAGTCCGCTAACCGAACACGCCTCATTCCGGATGGCGTGCGCCTGGCAGCTTTTTAGACCCAGATTTTTGGCAACGCTGCTCAGCGAATCGTTGTTTACAATCTCGCTAGAGGTGCAGACTATTAGCTTCTTGAATTCATCACGCGGCACTGAAGTGCGCTTCACCAGCTCATCTATGACCAGGCCAGCCAACTGATCCTCTTCTTTGGTATACTCCAAGGTGCTTGGCGTACGTACTGCGGCAGCAATAACCACCGCATTCTGATTTGGCCTGAGGCTGTAGTGGCGCACCAGATGCCATATGCTAAAATATATGTGAGAATTATATTAATTATATAATTAAAGATTGCACGTAAGAAAACGCGCACCTTTTTAAGCATTGCGAGCGAAATATTGCTGGCATTCTCCCAAACAGTTGTTATTGTTGTTGATTTAAATTTTCGATTTCGATAACACAAAACAGCTGTCAAACCTAGAGATGAGCGCTTGCTGCTGACAGCAGTGTTGCCAATACAGCTATTTCCTAGCTACATTTCGCTATTTTCAGAGTCGACTCGGGAAACGGCTAACGTTTTTAAAGGGTGTTTAGCTGCTTTTGGCATCTTAATGGTAATGCTTACTGCCAATTTATGGTCGAAAACTAATTCAACTATATTTAGCTATTTTTTAATATTGAATTCAGCTATTTTTGTTCAGCGGCAGCTGGCAGCACTGGTTGACAGCTGTTTTCTTACTGTGCAATAACAAAACGCAACAGTGAAAGTTATTTTCAATTTTAATAACGTTATATTGGGCAAAAACCACAACAACAAAAAACAAAGACAGAGCGAAAAAAAAAACGAAAACCCGTTTTTACGTCTTTGTCGCTAAAAAAATATTAAACATTAACCAGCCAGCAGTTGAAGTTGTAGGAAACTAGGCTACGGCTAAATATATTGGTACTCAAATGGAATTGACCTTCAAAAAGGCACGACTGGTGACTAGGGCAAACACAGCTGCTGCTGGCGAAGATTACAGCGATGCCGATAACGAGCAAGATGCGATCGAATTCGGCTGGTGGGCGCTACCGGAGCCAGCCCTTCTACAGATCTTTGTCTATTTAGATGTACAGGATTTAATTCAGGCAGGTCTAGTCTGCCGGCGTTGGAACTCCATTGCCAACGAAGATTTCCTGTGGCGTCTAAAGTTTCAGGAACACTTTCGAGCCTCGCCCAGTATACCGCTTAAGCCAGGCGCCAGTAGCTGGCGCGCCGAATATCAACGTCTCAGCATGCAAATACCCTTTGTGCAGGCCCAGCGATTGGAGCCGTGCACTGAATTCAATCATGGACATACACATCAGGTGCTGCATGTGAGCTTTGCACACAATGGTGAGATGTTTGCCACCTGCTCAAAGGATGGCTATGTGATTATCTGGAACGCACAACATCCGTGTACAGGTAGGCAATTGCTTATTCGAAAGCAATAGGCAACTAATACTCGCACTTGCACTTGTAGAAAAGTATGCGCACAACATGAAGCAGTTTAGCTGGAAGTACACCCAATACTCTCAGTTCAATCAGAGTGACACATTGCTCCTGGTCTCGGGTGTGCATTTTGGTTCACCTCAGAGTACATCTGGCGAGATAGCTGTCTTCTATCTGGGCGCTACGGAATCTCATTTGCGCTGTCGCGTCGTCAATCGGCCTTATGATATCTTTGGCACCTGGTTCAGTGATCAGTATCTGTTATCGGGAGATCTTCACTGGCTGGCGCATTTGGTTAGCACCTCGGTGCTGTGGCTGAACAAGGCCAATCAGGAGATCGACTCGGAGCATGTACCCATCATGAGCCAGCTGTATAAATTTTACAATCGTAATGCCAGCTCCGTACGCGCCATTATGGTGGCCAGGTGTCCATGGTTGGACGAAACGAATGATCCACTGCCGCAGGCACAACAAGGTCCATGCTCCGCCACAGCGTCGTGCAGTGACCAGCCTTCTACATCCGCCGCAGTGGCCAGTGGCAATCCGTTGTCGCATGCGGCCAGTTTGCGACGTACGCGCAGTGCTACGCCCGAGGATAACTATTTGCCGGACATTAGCGAGCACAGTCAGGTGCGCAGATCGCGTACACGTCCCGGCCACACATCCGATGCCACCATACACTATCTGGAGGAGTATAGGCGAGCAGCTGCGGCAGCCACCGAGGACACCGAGGAGGAGGAGAACGAGTCTTGCTCGGAGCTGCATGACGAATACGATGAAATGGAGAACAGTGTGCCCAAGTATCTTATATTTTCGACTGGCTCGAAGACCTTTACGCCACATCAGATTGGCTTTAAGCGCATTCGCAATGTAAATTTTCCGAAAAAATTGGATCCGGGACCGACGCTTAAGGAGCGCATTGCTGCCAAGCGTTTAGCTGACCAGCAGCAGCAGCAATCGCCACGCACTGATCCCGACTGGTGGGACTATGAGTCCGTGAAGGATCGTTTTGATCAGGTGGACAAAGTGATTGATCTGCATGGCCATATTATTGGCATGGCACTGAGTCCGGACCATAGGTATCTGTATGTTAATACCCGGCCATGGCCCAAGAACTATATAATAACTAATCCGCTGGAGCCGCCACCAATTGCCCAGGAGATCGATATACATGTGATCGATTTAATGACACTCAAGCGTGTCGGCAACATGCTGCGCGCCCACAAAGCATATACGCCTAGCACAGAATGCTTCTTCATATTTCTTGATGTGTGCGAGGAGTATGTGGCCAGTGGCGCCGAGGATCAGCATGCATATTTATGGGATCGCTACTATGGCATAAGCTTGGCTAAATTCAAGCACACAGATGTCGTTAACAGCGTGGCATTTAACCCAAAAGACTCCCAGATGCTGGTCACCACCAGCGATGATTACACCATCAAGGTGCGTTGAATATACATAGCTATAGACAAATTTGTTTGCTATTATATTTTGTTTTTCTTTTTTTAGGTTTGGCGCTCGCGTGCGCAGGCAAAGGCGTACAATATTCCTGTCAATGTGAGCGAATCTTTTGAGCTGAAGCCCAAAAATTAGGCCAACCGCCTGCGTACCTGCGTTGCTGCCCAGTTGTTACAATCAACAATATGTATAATCTATACACTGCTCATTTTGGTGTTAGCTTTTAATGAAAAGATGCAAATTGTTTCGTGTTATTTAAAATGTTACGTCCTAATCGAATTTATTTTGGGTTTGTGTTGTGGGAGACGGTTTAAAGTGAAGGTTTCACTGTCGTTTCGAAGTCTGGTTGTTGAGCGCTTATTCCTGATTCCGATGTGCCTTGATCCGGCTCGGATTGCGCCTCAGCGGACGTGGATGGCTCATCCGGGCGCCGAGTTACAGGGCATGAGTCACCACCACTGTTGGGCTTCTTGTTCTTCTTGCGCTTTTCGGGATGGCCAAAACAGTGCTCGCATTCGTCATCATCTTCCGACGAGCTTTCGCCAAAGGCCACCGGTTTGCGGTATATGCAACAGCCTGAAGACACATTATATATGCTGCTATACAAAGTGATTTTATGGTATGTACTCACATTTGGATTTCATGCGATTCATATGCTCGTTGTCTATGACCCCATCGTGGAAGACCACCCGGCGTTCCTCATGCGGCTGTTCTAGGCGCAGCATCAATGTAGGTGTAGACTCCGTTTTTTGTGCGCCATCTGTTTCCTCCAAAGTCTCCGTTTTTGCGCAGTCTGCATTATTAATTCTTTGAGCTTGTGCCATTTTGCAAAGTAAACAAAGCAAGGAAAAGTATCAGCTGCTGGCTAATGCAGTAGAACCTCCCAGCCGCGATACCTATCGATAACTTTTACTCAGATGGCGCACAGATGCCACCAGGACGCAACGGTGTGGCAACGCTGCACGTAATTGTCAGGTCGCAGCTGTCAGTCGTGTCGTATCAAAAATGGCTGCAATAGTGCGATTTAATTTGTTAGCAAAACCGCAATTTGGTAAATAAACAGTAGCGTTTTAGTTGTAAACTATTTTTGTAGTGCCTTACAATATCATTGGACAGTTTGGGACGTTGGCAGGCATGCTATATAAAGTTCAGCCAGCTGCCTATTATAAATTTCACTTGCAAACAAATTATGTAATTTGCGCACATAAAAACAAAAGCTGTGGCGCATATACTGCGCATTGTTGCATATATTCATATTGATTTATTAAAAATGGAATTTTTGCAGTTGCGGCTCTGCCGGCCTCTCTGCAGTTGCGCTTGCAGAGCACGCAAGCACCTCCACCAGGCACCCCGCCTCCACAGACAAAAACCAAATTCGGACCATTAGCTGATGAGGATCGCATCTTTACCAATCTCTATGGACGCCACGATTGGCGATTGAAGGGTGCGCAGAAGCGCGGCGATTGGTACAAGACCAAGGAGATTGTACTAAAAGGCCCCGACTGGATTATCAATGAGATCAAGACCTCGGGTCTGCGTGGACGTGGTGGCGCTGGTTTCCCTAGCGGCATGAAATGGTCTTTTATGAATAAGCCTGGCGATGGACGTCCCAAGTATTTGGTGGTCAACGCTGATGAGGGTAAGTCCAGCCTCCAATCCAAAAATCACTGTCCATGCTAAAAATGTATTATTTTTGCTGCCACAGGTGAACCAGGCACGTGCAAGGATCGCGAGATCATGCGTCATGATCCACACAAGCTAGTAGAGGGCTGTCTAATTGCTGGGCGTGCCATGGGTGCACAGGCTGCATATATCTACATACGCGGCGAGTTCTACAATGAGGCTTCAAACATGCAATTGGCCATTGCCGAAGCCTATCAGGCTGGCTTAATTGGCAAGAACGCTTGCGGCAGTGGCTACAACTTTGATGTATTCATGCATCGCGGCGCTGGTGCCTACATTTGCGGTGAGGAGACCGCACTGATTGAGTCCCTAGAGGGCAAACAGGGCAAGCCACGCTTGAAGCCGCCATTTCCCGCTGATGTGGGTCTCTTTGGTTGCCCAACCACGGTGACCAATGTGGAGACAGTTGCGGTGGCGCCAACAATTTGCCGTCGTGGTGGTACCTGGTTTGCCAGCTTTGGACGTACCCGTAACTCTGGCACGAAGCTATTCAATATCTCTGGACATGTGAACAATCCCTGTACAGTGGAGGAAGAGATGTCCATTCCATTGAAAGAGCTGATTGAGCGTCACTGTGGCGGCGTCGTTGGTGGCTGGGACAATCTGCTGGGCGTCATACCCGGCGGCTCTTCGACACCCATCATACCAAGAAAGGTGTGCGATGATGTGATTATGGATTTCGATGGCCTGATTGCGGCGCAAACATCGCTGGGCACAGCGGCTATTATTGTGATGGACAAGTCCACGGATGTGATTAAGGCAATTGCGCGATTGATTTCGTTCTATAAGCACGAGAGCTGCGGCCAGTGCACGCCCTGCCGCGAGGGCATTGGCTGGATGAACAAGATTATGACGCGGTAAGTTTTTGCAATGTACAAATTATTTTCTGAGCTCATGGCTGGCTGGTTTTTCTTTTGTAGCTTTGTCAAGGGCGATGCTCAGCCCGCCGAGATTGATATGCTGTGGGAGATATCCAAACAAATTGAGGGACACACGATTTGCGCGTTGGGCGACGGTGCCGCCTGGCCAGTGCAGGGACTCATTCGTCACTTTAGGCCAGAGATCGAGAAGCGAATGCAGCAGCATGCGCAGCAGACAAAGCGCGCCAGTAATTAATTAATAACGTTTATAGCTAATTATATTTGATTTCATTTAACCGCGCGTCGTTTATGCAAATAAAGTGTAAAGTTCTCTAAACTAAAAGTAAATGTAATTATATGTCATTCAATTTAAATTTAATCCTTGTATGTGCTCGATGACGGCTTGAATGTCCTCATTATCAGGTGTCTCATACTTGGGCGGAAAGCTACACAGACTGAGAGGACCTCCAATTTGTGCCTCCACGCCTGGATAATCATTGCAGCGCGCCGGAATGAATTCATATCTGTATTTAATAGATATATTTATATATTGCATTTCCTAACAATTAGTAGTACTTACTTCCTAGCTGGAATGCAGTGTGCTAGCTGGAACACCAGCACCAGACAAACCATTAAATATTTTAAAAACATTTTTTCTATTAAAATTTGTTGCTTGCTTTGGCTTGTACGTTTGATCATCGACTGTTTTGGCTGCTGCAAATCGCCGACTTAAGGCTCATTTAAAATATGCAAATGTTATGCAACGTCTGGAATTTTTGCACATATAATTACCTATTTTATTGCCATATGAATAATTAATGCAACAAAGTTCCATTGCCATCCCGTTGTCTTCCCGGTTAGCAGCATCAAATACTCACACGACTTTCAATTATCTAAATATGATTAATCGTTAATCGAACAACGATTAAATTAGTGCTGACGGCCAAAACAACTGTTAAATAGTAGCATGTTTATAGCATTTATAGATTCTTATTATTTTTTTTTTTTTTGTGAAATTTAAGTTGAGTACAAAATAATAGTTCTAAAAATAGTTTAAAATTATTGAGAATTAGCTAACAGAACACATTTATCTATTGCTGAGTATGTCAAAGGTAAGGTTTAATTTTAAATGTTAATGTAATGTTAACGCAACTAACAGCGTCAGTCAGTTAACAGGTAAATGCTATTAGACAAAAGTCTGACAGTTACCCAGTTAATTACTCTACATTTGTATATATATGTTTTTAAGTTTCCTTCTTTCGGCTGGCGATAGTGAATTTGTAAATTATGAAATCAATCTACACGTAATTGAACATCTACCACTAAATTGTTGTGTTTCATAATATGGATAGTTACATCAAAGACAGAGACAATACATAGAACCAAGTGGAAAGTGAAAATGAACTCTTCTACATAAGACACACACATACACATTCAGTTTTTGGAAAGTAAGAAATACATACATATATTCTATTGCGTATAAATTGAACTTTGCAGGTGTTCAATCTACAGGTATTCAGTTGAATGAACGTTAAAAATGTTAGAAAAAGTGTAGAAAGAATGCTTTTCGACACACTTATATACAATTTTTTTTTTTACATTTTTTTTTTTTTTTAATGTTTCTTATATGTACGTAGATTTGTTAAATATGTATTTGATTTTAGTTTAATTGTATTTGGTTTAGTTTTAGATCATGTTTAGTTTGATTTGTTTGTTAAACTTGGCTTAAAGCGTTTCTTATTGCTTATCTATGAGAAGGAACATAGTACAATATTATTATGCATTTATGTAATTTCTTTTAGTTACAGCTTAAAGACTAAACAACATTTTAAACAAGTCACTAAATGAGTTCGTATATGGTTTTTTTTGTTGGTTTGGATTGCAATACGTTTGGAATACTAACATTGTGTTGTAAATAAGCGTTAACAACTACCTATGTGTAGTAGCTATATAAACTATGTATGTATTATGTATTTATGTATATTATGTATAATTTCGCTTGCATATTTGTATTTTTAAGTTGTGTCAACTAATTGCGAAGAGCTATGGAGAAAAAGAACATCGAGTTTCTTAGAACGGGGATAGCCTTGGGTTCGAGTGTCATAAGTAAATACATATGTATGTTAAGGTTTTAGTTTAGTATCACACTAGTAGAGATAATGCGAAGAAGCCTGAGCTCTATACTGCTTCGGTGTTAGCTTTATCAATTTAGGATTGAAGGCCCCCAATGCTGCCTCATTTGTCGACGAGGCTGCCGGCGGAACGGTGTGCGAGCGAAAGCGCGAACGCAGGAAATTTTGCATGGACCGCAGGCGAATGATAGGCGCACAGGGCGATTGTCGTAGCGTATTATGGTTGAGGGCCCAATAGATGACCGGGCTAATAGCCGAATAAAAGTAGCCTGTTAGGAATATATGCAAAGTATAAAAAACAAAATGATTGATTATTTTTGCTGCAAATAATGTACATATGTATGTATATTTGTATGATTGTATATACATATACAGTTATTGCTTATTGTGGCGTTTTCAGTGTTACCCCTTCATTATTCATTTTATATTTCGATTTCAACAGTCTGGCCACCTTTTTGACTTGAATTCAATATGTACTTATTTTTTATTGTTCAATAAATGTAATTTGTGTCGCAAATAATTTGTATTTTTTTTGTAAACAATTTATCACTAACAATTTAAAATTTCGAATCGCTTCCATAGGCGTCGGTGGAAATAAGATCCAGTTCGTATTAGTGAATTATTTCCATCCTAATAAGAGTGGTAAAAATTATGTATAGACCATAGACAGCCAACGTGAAAATCCCTACCGAGCGTCGGGCGTTAAAATTCAACAACGGTGTCCACAGTAGCGTGGTTAAGAGGCCAGAAATCAATAATAAAAATTCATTTGCCCCATAAGATCCATTTACAGTATTCATTTCAGTACTATGGCCTAAACAAATCTTGATGAAAAGCACAATGCCGGTGCTCAGAAGAACGTTGAAAAAATGGCTGCTGCATACGCCATTTTCTCATACCCCTGCAGAGCCATTGACATTATCGCCAAAAGATCGCTCAGAGAGTTAGCGATGGATATTACAGCAGGAAATTTTAACAAATGGCCAAGAACGCCCGTTAACAACGATATTTCGGTGGAGCACTGAAACATCAGAAACATGGATACAGTCAGATTCATAATTGTAAACATCCAGTGATATGATGGCGGGGCTGGTATTCGAATGAAAAAACACAGCACTGTTACCACCAGGGAGTAAAGTCCGTATTTGACGTCATTTGGTACGTTATAATACCAGAGATTCGATTTATCAATGAATAAGGAAAATTTGTATGCAATTGAGCAGCTTACTCCAGCCATTCTTGTCCAGCTCGTAATCCACCAAGGGTATATAAATGACACTTAAAAATACACCAGGGGCCCGAAAAATAGAGAAGGCGCGCATGGTAGCCAGGGGACAGTCATTTAATGGGCCCGATTGCAGAGAAGAACTCCCTAAAGAGACGGTGATTTTTGCTTCGGATCCTGATGTAATTAGCATTATGACTGATCAAACCTGATTGTTGTTACACGTGTGCTTGGGGTTCAGGTCATACAAGTGAAATACACTGGAGAGGAAGTCAAATGGACTGATGTAGCAGACCAATCCCCCAATAAACATGCTTACAAATATTGCCGAAGACAGGCTATTGGCAAATATGGATGTATTATCAGCCCATATATGAGAAAACAGATCTGGTAGTGTGTTGCCAAGTGCCATGATCGTCACGCCAGCCAGATGCTCGTTCATATGAAGCACTCGGGAAACGACCTTCAATGCTGGAGTGTAATAATAATGCGCCACATGTCCCAGCAAGAGCAGCAATTCGAAACATAGAATCAGGAAAAGGGTCACATAGATGTGCTCTTCGAATATGTTTCTACATTTCAAATCGCATGCCAATAAATGCGTATACGGCACGAAGTTCGTGCCATGTATGCAGTTATTTGCTTTTCTCACAAACTCGCACCTTTGGTCATACAGAAAATCCACCATAGCAAAAAAATTGACTTTTGAACAAAACTCGTCGAATTCTTAATGCAAAGCGTTTGGCTCATATATTTCGGCCATAATCCAAAATATAGAGGTAAGAATATTGAACTTGAATTGTGTTTATTTTAACTTGTGTTATGTGTCGTTCAAATTAAATATCCAAAGCATAAATACATCCAGAAAATAAAAAGATCATCTGATTTTTTTTTTGAAAACAACTAATTTCCAAGTTAGTTAATACATTTTTAAATTGTGGCCGAAATTGGTTCAAATACATATGTACAAGAGGAAATTAACCGGCATCGCCCTGTTCAAATGAGTCATTCGGTCCGATTTCATCCGAAATTGTTTGTTCAAACTTCATGCAATTATAAAGCGGTCCCCGCTGCACATGCACAATTTATATAATTATAACCAATTGATTACAAACAAAATTGTACTAAAAACCTCAATCTGTATTATCCACTGGGATATTAAATCGTTCACTGTTCACATCCATCGTTCCTGCCCAATCGGCTGCTCTCAACGATAACATTAATTTGGCTTATATATATAAGTGTTTACAGCCCAGATTTAACTGCACAAAGAAACACTGTTTCAATTTATTAAAAAAAATATTTGTTTCTATTTCAAATGAGCAATGGTGGAATATACGTAACCAGCTAGAAATATATGCATGAAACAAAAAAAAACAATGGTTTGAAGAAAATAGCTAAACATGGCAGCGTTTCAATGTAGCCCCTTTTTATACGCTGAACTAATTGAAAATGTGTAAAAAGGGTATAATGTATTTGTGCAAATGTATGTAACAGGCAGAAAGAAGCATCTCCGACCCCATAAAGTATATATATTCTTGATCAGCATCAACAGCCGATTCGATCTGGCCATGTCCGTCCCTCCCTATGTATGGACGCAAGGATATCAGTACCTATAAGAGCTAGAGACTTCACAAACTTGTCATGTAGCTTCTTGATTGGTATATATATATATATCATGTAGCTTTATATCTTTTTATTCTTGGGATAATTTTAAATGCCAATCAAATGTCACACAGCGTAAATAATAACAGCTATATTTTCAAGTCTGGCCAGTTTTTCGATTACATATGTGTTTACATTTGTTGAATTAGTGTAGTATACATGCTTATGCAACTAAAAATTTGTCAACTTACAATTTTTTAACTTATTGCATGGGAACTCTTAAGATGAGCATCCAAATTGTATGGGTGGATGATTCCCATTTTAATAAGAATGCTAAATATGATGTACAGACCATAGATGGACATGGAGAAAATCCCCACCGAGCGACGGGCATTAAAATTCAACACCGATGTCCATAAAAGCGTCGATAGGAGACCTAATATCAATAGGACAAATGCATTTTCCCCATATGCTCCAATCATACAATCCATTGAAGTACTAAGCCCAAAAAGTATCTTTACGCAAAAAACACTGCCTGCACCCAGAAGAATTTTAAAGAATGGACCCCCAATGGCTGCTGCATATGCCATTTTTTCATACCCCTGCAGAGCCATTGATGTATTTGTTACAAGATTAACTATGGAGTTGGCGAGGCATGTTACAGTGGAACCCATAAAATCAGCTGGAACTTTTAACATAAATCCAAGGACCCCCGTTATCAACGTTATTTCGGTGGAGCACTGAAACATCAGAAAAATTGATCCAGTCAGGTTCATAAATGTAAACATCCAGTGATATAACGGTGGGGCACTGGTGTTTGAGTGGAAAAACACAAATATGGCTACGGGCACTGTTACCACCAGGGAGTAAAGGCCGTATTTTACGTCCTTTGGTACATTATAATACCAAAGCTTCGATTTATCCCTAAATACCATAGACTTGCCCATTGTGATTGTAACCGCTGGGTTAAGGAAAATTTGTATGCAATTGAGCAGCTTACTCCAGCCATTCTTGTCCAGCTCGTAATCCACCAAGGGTATATAAATGGCACTTAAAAATACACCAGGAGCCCGAATAATATAGAAGGCGCGAAGTAACATGGTAGCCTGGCGCCATTCATTCAGTTTTATGGGCTGGATTGCAGAGAAGAATTCCCTAAAGAGACGGTGATTCTTGCTTCGGGCCCTGAGGTAATGTATATTGCGATTGGCCTCCATGTCAATTGTGACGCGTTCGCTTCCGACTTTTGTCAGAAAGCTGAAAGTTCGATCACGTGGATTCGTCGTTTTGCGCTGCAATATAGGTACGCGATCATCCTGGGAAAGGAAGTCAAATTTTTTTTGTAATGTTTCGCGCCTTTCTTTAACATCTTCTGACTGTGGCAATTCGTACAGTGCGTTGATTTCGCGTGCCAAAGCTACGAAAAGCGAGTAGATGTTAGCCAAGTACAGTAACATTTCAGAAAACCCGCTACTCACCTCTTAGGGTACGTTTCATGATATACAGATCGACCACGTTGACAATTATGTATATGACGTACACCGCCACCAGTAGGATACACTCAGCGAGCGAAACCATATCGTCATTGATTATAATAACCTCAAGCAGCATCGCGCCAAAGATAAAGAAGACTAGATCGCGTACGGTATCATATGCACTCATTTTAAATGGACTGATATAGCATATAAATCCCCCCGTGAACATAGTTACAAATAATGCCGAAGAAACGCAACTGGCGAACACGGGTGTATCTTCAAAAACAGCAAACATATTGGCAAACACTTCTGGAAGTGTGTTGCCAAGTGCCATGATCGTCACGCCAGCCAGATGATCGTTCATATGAAGCATTCGGGAAACGACCTTCAATGCTGGAGTGTAATAATAATGCGCCACATGGCCCAGCAAGAGCAGCAATTCGAAACATAGAATCAGGAAAAGGGTCCCATAGGTGTGCTCCTCGAATATGTTTCTACATTTCAAATCGCATGCCAATAAATGCATATATGGCAAGAAGTTCATGCCATGTATGCAGTTATTTGCATTTCTCACAAACTCGCATCTTTGGTCATACGGAAAATCCATCACAGCAAAGCAATTGACTTTTGACCAAAACTCGTCGAATTCATTATCCAAAATGTTTGGTTTATACATGTTGGCCATGATCTTAAGTATATAGGTAAGTATATTAAACTTGAACTGTGTTTTTATTTTAACATGTGTTGTGTTCCGTTCAAAATTTAATTTTAAAATCAATCAAGAAATAAATTAAAAAGAGCACCTGATTTTTTTTTTCGAAAATTACGAATTATCCAGTTTAGTTCATAAAGCTTTAAATTGTGGCCGAAATTAGTTGATGTACATATTTACATTGCTTTCAGGATACCTTCTGGAAGTCACTGACCATGCCCAGCTATGAGAGTAGCTTGCCGGACAGGCTATAAATTTTCACCACCAGGTCGGTGCATTCCCATCACTATCTCTTTATCCTATCTACTTAATCTCTATATATAAAACTGTTTGTCCTGACTGACTGACTGACTGACTGACTGACTGACTGACTGACTGATTGGTGATCAACGCACAGCCCAAACCTTAAGAGCTAGGAAGCTGAAATTTTCACTGTAGTTACCTTATGTGATGTAGGTGCACGTTAAGACGGGGTTTCGGGAAATTCCACCCGCAAGTGTGGAAAAATCGCGAAAAACGTTTGTATGTAACTTTTTTGTTTACCATCCGATCGGCCCCAAACTTATTTTCAAAGATCTTTGTTCAAATTCATTTGAGGGGTGTTTCGCACTTTTCGGAAAACCCATTCCTCCTTGGTGGAAATGGAGGTCAAAGATTTGGTGGGTGACGTTTCGCGCTCAAATTCATTTCCAGTGATCTATATGAAAAATCATTTGAGACGTGTTTCTCACTTTTCGCAGAATTCAAACTTCTTCGGGGGGAATGCGATTTAAAGATTTTTTTGGGCGGCGTTTTAAGTTGAGTGCGATTTGCTTCAAACTTATTTTTAAAGCTCTTCATAAGAACTTAATAAGTACGTATTTCAGCGATTTGGAAAATTCCACCCGCAACAGTGGTAAATTGGCGGAAAAAGGTTGTATGAAAGTTTTTTGTTTACCATCCGATCGGCCCCAAATTCATATTTAAAGATCTATGTTTAAATTCATTTAAGGGGTGTTTCACACTTTTTGAAAAATCCATTCCTCCTTGGTGGAAATGGAGGTCAAAGATTTGGTGGGTGACGTTTCGCACTCAAATTCATTTCCAGAGATCTATTAGAAAAATCATTTGAGACGTGTTTCACACTTTTCGCAGAATTCAAACTTCTTCGTGGGGAATGCGATTTAAAGATTTTTTGTGCGAAGTTTTAAGTTGTGTCCGATTTGCTTCAAACTTATTTTCAAAGCTCTCAATAAGAACTTAATGAATACGTATTTCGACGATTTGGAAAATTCCACCCGTAACAGTGGTAAATTGGCGGAAATCGGTTGTATGAAAGTTTTTTGTTTACCATCCGATCGGCCCCAAACTCATTTTCAAAGATCTATATTCAAATTCATTTGAGGGGTGTTTCACACTTTTCGGAAAACCCATTCCTCCTTGGTGGAAATGGAGGTCAAAGATTTGGTGGGTGACGTTTCGCGCTCAAATTCATTTCCAGTGATCTATATGAAAAATCATTTGAGACGTGTTTCTCACTTTTCGCAGAATTCAAACTTCTTCGGGGGGAATGCGATTTAAAGATTTTTTGGGCGGCGTTTTAAGTTGAGTCCGATTTGCTTCAAACTTATTTTTAAAGCTCTTCATAAGAACTTAATAAGTACGTATTTCAGCGATTTGGAAAATTCCACCCGCAACAGTGGTAAATTGGCGGAAAAAGGTTGTATGAAAGTTTTTTGTTTACCATCCGATCGGCCCCAAATTCATATTTAAAGATCTATGTTTAAATTCATTTAAGGGGTGTTTCACACTTTTTGAAAAATCCATCCCTCCTTGGTGCAAATGGGGGTCGAAGATTTGGTGGATGACGTTTTGTGTTCAAATTTATTTCCAAAGATCTATAAGACAAATCATTAGAGACGTGTTTCACATTTCTCGCAAAATCTAAACTCCTTCGGTGGAAAATTCATTTTTAAGATTTTTTTGGTGAATTTTAAGAGTTTTCCGATTTGCATAAAAGTTGTTTGATTCCCGTCCGATCAGTTTCAAAATCATTTTCAAAGCTTTTTTGATTTTATAACATACGTGCCACGGGCAAGGCCGGGTTATACCCGCTAGTACTCTATATATCTCTATATATAAAACTTTGTCCTGACTGACTGTCTGACTGACTGGTGATCAGCGCACAGCCCAAACCAAGCTGAAATCACTGCAGTTACCTTATGTGCACGTTTAGATGGGTTGTCGGGAAATTCCACCCGCATGTGTGGAAAAATCGCGAATAATCTTTGTATGAAACTTTTTTGCTTACCATACGACCGGCCTCAAACTTATTTTCAAATATCTTTGCTCAAATTCATTTAAGGGGTATATCCCACATTTCGTAGAACTCAAGCTTCATCGGTGGGAAATGCGCTTCAAAAATTTTTTGGCTAAGTTTTTAAGTTTTGTCCGATTTCCATTTTCATACTTTACATAAGAGCTTAATGAATACGTGTTTTAGTGATTTTGTAAATTCCACCCTAAACTGTGGAAATTTGGCGGAATATTTGAAACGTTTTTTTGTTTATTATCGGTGTTAAACTCTTTTTCAAAGATCTTTTAGAGAATCAATTTAATACGTTTTTTCGCCTAATTCATCGCTCTTGTGTGGACAGTGCGGGTCAAAGGTTTATTAAGCGGAAGTTTATTTTTCGGCTTCAAGATTCTCACTTTATTCGATAGTTCGCCTAGAACCGGGTAATTCCAGCTAGTCTACTATAAATTTATTTTCTTTTTAACAACTTTCTTTTTTCCTATTTACTGCATTTTTTTTAATAATATAATAATTTAAAGTCTGCAAATTTTTTCCAATCTACTTACTATTCTGTCTGTCCTAATAATAATGCTTTCCCTTATAATATTAATTCCTCTAGTTCTACACTTGCTCCTATTATTATTCATTCCTCTCTCCTCTCGGCCATAAACTTTTTTAAATCTTCTTACTATCCTGGGCCTGACAATACTCCTAGAAGTCTACTCATGTAGATCTTCCCTTCTTCGTCCATTGCTAAAGCTTTTTTATCTATTCCTTGAATCCTCTGTCTTTCCATCTCTTTGGAAGGAATCTTATATGATTCTGATTTACAAAATTACAGGGCCATTGCAAAACTGTCCGCTAACCCTAAATTATTTGAAAAATAATCACATCGAATTTGCAGCATTTCTGCAAATCAGTTTTCTCACCTGATCAACATGGATTCGTAAAGAATCGGTCAACTACGATCAATCTGCTTGGAATTACTTGCTTGGTAAATGATGCTTTCCTTTCTAAAATGCAATCTGATGTCATTTACACTGACTTCAGTAAGGCGTTTGACTCTGTGCACCATGACATTTTACTTTTTAAACTTGACCGAATAGGTTTCCCTCCAGTCTCTTTTGCTTTGGATTTCTTCTTATTTAAAAGGTAGGATCCAAAGAGTAGTGCTGAGGCTGACTATTTATTTATTTATTTATTTTTATTATTTTATTTATTTTTATACACTAATACCCTGCATCCCTCTCGTCGACAAGAGGATTTTAACGCTATGCAACTTTGGTGTTCGGCCAATCACTTGCATCTTAGTTGTTCAAATAGTGTGCTTATTATCCTCAGTCGTACCACACCTTATCTTGTCAGTTATACAATCGACAATACTCCATTGCAACGTATACTAATCTGCTTCAATCTTCATAAAGCAACCATAAAGAGTTTAACAATCCTTTAATAACCAAACTAATATACATCTTGTTCGCCCTATCCTTGAATACTGTTCTTGCATCTGGTCTCCCCAGCATAACAATAGCTAGGATCATATTGAATCACTTTGGGGACCCCAATCTTTGGTTGCCATCCTATTTCCCTCCAGCAGGCTTCTTCTTCTTGATCTTCCGTCGTTACCAAACCATAGGACAATTCTCGGTGTTGTCTTCCTACATAAGTTGATTGTTGGCGATACAGATCTTTCTTATATGTTGGGGTGTCTTCAATTCTCTGTTCCGTCTAGACCTACCAGGAATTATCGCCCCTTATTCCTACCTACGTGCACAACAAAGCAAAACCTTCTTGCTTTCTTTTTTCCTATTTATTATATTTTCTTTAATCAAATAGGGAATTAAGAATATTTTTCATTTTTTCTTAGGAATACCATTTTCTCTACTAACACTTTCCTTCTTAGCTGTAAAGGCTATGCTATTAGAAAATTTTGTATTATAATTAAGGCTTTTAGATTTGAATCATTTTTTTGTTTCTTATGTATTTAATAATTAGGACAACACTCGTTTTTGTCGACCATTAATAAAAAAATAAAAGAGGAAATTAACCGGCATCGCCCTGTTCGGTAATTCGGTCCAATTTCATCCGACAAACTTCAAACTTCATGCAATTATAAAGCGGTCCCCGCTGCACATGCACAATTTATATATAGCCAATTGATTACAAACAAAATTGTACTAAAAACCCTAAGCTGTATTATCCACTGGGATATTAAATCGTTCACTGTTCACATCCATCGTCCCTGCCCAATCGGCTGCTCTCAACGATAACATTAATTTGGCTTATATATATAAGTGTTTACAGCCCAGATTTAACAGAACGAAGAAAGACTGTTTCAATTTATTAAAAAAAAAATGTTCTTTTCTATTTCAAATGAGCAATGGTGGAATATACGTAACAAGCTAGAAATATATGCATGAAACAAAAAAAAAAACAGTGGTTTGAAGAAAATACCTAAACATGACAGCGTTTCAATGTAGCCCCGTTTTATACCCTGAACCCATTGAAAATGGGTAAAAATGGTATAATGTATTTGTGCAAAGGCAGAAGGAAGCATCTCCGACCCCATAAAGAGTATATATTCTTGATCAGCAGCAGATCAACAGCCGATTCGATCTGGCCATGTCCGTCCCTCCCTATGTATGGACGCAAGGATATCAGTACCTATGAGCTAGAGACCTGCAATTTGGAACGTAGGTCCTCCTAGTGAAGGTCCCCCGCGCAGTACGAGCTTGTTTCCGATAGTCGATAACTTGCCCCGTTTCCAAGTAATCAATAAAAATCGCTGTCGAAATCCTGTTTCTTGAGCAAATATCTTAGGTTTTGAGAGCTAGAGTCACAAACTTGTCATGTAGCTTCTTGATTGTTATATATATATATATATCATGTAGCTTTATATCTTTTTATTCTTGGGATAATTTTAAATGCCAATCAAATGTCACACAGCGTAAATAATAACAGCTATATTTTCAAGTCTGGCCAGTTTTTCGATTACATATGTGTTTACATTTGTTGAATTAGTGTAGTATACATGCTTATGCAACTAAACATTTGTCAACTTACAATTTTTTAACTTATTGCATGGGAACTCTTAAGATGAGCATCCAAATTGTATGGGTGGATGATTCCCATTTTAATAAGAATGCTAAATATGATGTACAGACCATAGATGGACATGGAGAAAATCCCCACCGAGCGACGGGCATTAAAATTCAACACCGATGTCCATAAAAGCGTCGATAGGAGACCTAATATCAATAGGACAAATGCATTTTCCCCATATGCTCCAATCATACAATCCATTGAAGTACTAAGCCCAAAAAGTATCTTTACGCAAAAAACACTGCCTGCACCCAGAAGAATTGTAAAGAATGGACTCCCAATGGCTGCTGCATATGCCATTTTTTCATACCCCTGCAGAGCCATTGATGTATTTGTTACAAGATTAACTATGGAGTTGGCGAGGCATGTTACAGTGGCACCCATAAAATCAGCTGGAACTTTTAACATAAATCCAAGGACCCCCGTTATCAACGTTATTTCGGTGGAGCACTGAAACATCAGAAAAATTGATCCAGTCAGGTTCATAAATGTAAACATCCAGTGATATAACGGTGGGGCACTGGTGTTTGAGTGGAAAAACACAAATATGGCTACGGGCACTGTTACCACCAGGGAGTAAAGGCCGTATTTTACGTCCTTTGGTACGTTATAATACCAAAGCTTCGATTTATCCCTAAATACCATAGACTTGCCCATTGTGATTGTAACCGCTGGGTTAAGGAAAATTTGTATGCAATTGAGCAGCTTACTCCAGCCATTCTTGTCCAGCTCGTAATCCACCAAGGGTATATAAATGGCACTTAAGAACACACCAGGGGCCCGAACAATATAGAAGACGCGAAGAAAATTGGTAGCCTGGCGCCATTCATTCAATTTTATGGGCTGGATTGCAGAGAAGAATTCCCTAAAGAGACGGTGATTCTTGCTTCGGGCCCTGAGGTAATGTATATTGCGATTGGCCTCCATGTCAATTGTGACGCGTTCGCTTCCGACTTTTGTCGTAAAGCTGAAAGTTCGATCACGTGGATTCGTCGTTTTGCGCTGCAATATAGGTACGCGATCATCCTGGGAAAGGAAGTCATATTTTTTTTGTAGTGTTTCGCGCCTTTCTTTAACATCTTCTGACTGTGGCAATTCGTACAGTGCGTTGATTTCGCGTGCCAAAGCTACGAAAAGCAAATAGATGTTAGCCAAGTACAGCAACATTTCAGAAAACCCGCTACTCACCTCTTAGGGTACGTTTCATGATATACAGATCGACCACGTTGACAATTATATATATGACGTACACCGCCACCAGTAGGATACACTCAGCGAGCGAAACCATATCGTCATTGATTATAATAACCTCAAGCAGCATCGCGCCAAAGATAAAGAAGACTAGATCGCGTACGGTATCATATGCACTCATTTTAAATGGACTGATATAGCATACCAATCCCCCCGTGAACATAGTTACAAATAATGCCGAAGAAAGGCAATTGGCGAACACGGGTGTATCTTCAAAAACAGCAAACATATTGGCAAACACTTCTGGAAGTGTGTTGCCAAGTGCCATGATCGTCACGCCAGCCAGATGCTCGTTCATATGAAGCACTCGGGAAACGACCTTCAATGCTGGAGTGTAATAATAATGCGCCACATGGCCCAGCAAGAGCAGCAATTCGAAACATAGAATCAGGAAAAGGGTCACATAGATGTGCTCCTCGAATATGTTTCTACATTTAAAATCGCATGCCAATAAATGCATATATGGCAAGAAGTTCATGCCATGTATGCAGTTATTTGCATTTCTCACAAACTCGCATCTTTGGTCATACGGAAAATCCATCACAGCAAAGCAATTGACTTTTGACCAAAACTCGTCGAATTCATTATCCAAAATGTTTGGTTTATACATGTTGGCCATGATCTTAAGTATATAGGTAAGTATATTAAACTTGAACTGTGTTTTTATTTTAACATGTGTTGTGTTCCGTTGAAAATTTAATTTTAAAATCATACCTAGAGCAAAAATAAATTAAAAAGAGCACCTGATTTTTTTTTCGAAAATTACGAATTATCCAGTTTAGTTCATATTGCTTTTACATTACATTGCTTTCAGGATACCTTCCGGAAGTCACTGACCATGCCCAGCTATGAGAGTAGCTTGCCGGACAGGCTATAAATTTCCACCACCAGGTCGGTGCATTCCCATCACTATCTCTTTATCCTATCTACTTAATCTCTATATATAAAACTGTTTGTCCTGACTGACTGACTGACTGACTGACTGACTGACTGACTGACTGACTGACTGATTGGTGATCAACGCACAGCCCAAACCTTAAGAGCTAGGAAGCTGAAATTTTCACTGTAGTTACCTTATGTGATGTAGGTGCACGTTAAGACGGGGTTTCGGGAAATTCCACCCGCAAGTGTGGAAAAATCGCGAAAAACGTTTGTATGTAACTTTTTTGTTTACCATCCGATCGGCCCCAAACTTATTTTCAAAGATCTTTGTTCAAATTCATTTGAGGGGTGTTTCGCACTTTTCGGAAAACCCATTCCTCCTTGGTGGAAATGGAGGTCAAAGATTTGGTGGGTGACGTTTCGCACTCAAATTCATTTCCAGAGATCTATTAGAAAAATCATTTGAGACGTGTTTCACACTTTTCGCAGAATTCAAACTTCTTCGTGGGGAATGCGATTTAAAGATTTTTTGTGCGAAGTTTTAAGTTGTGTCCGATTTGCTTCAAACTTATTTTCAAAGCTCTCAATAAGAACTTAATGAATACGTATTTCGACGATTTGGAAAATTCCACCCGTAACAGTGGTAAATTGGCGGAAATCGGTTGTATGAAAGTTTTTTGTTTACCATCCGATCGGCCCCAAACTCATTTTCAAAGATCTATATTCAAATTCATTTGAGGGGTGTTTCACACTTTTCGGAAAACCCATTCCTCCTTGGTGGAAATGGAGGTCAAAGATTTGGTGGGTGACGTTTCGCACTCAAATTCATTTCCAGAGATCTATTAGAAAAATCATTTGAGACGTGTTTCACACTTTTCTCAGAATCCAAACTTTTTCGGGTTAAATGCGATTTAAAGATTTTTTGGACGAAGTTTTAAGTTGTGTCCGATTTGCTGCAAACTTATTTTCAAAGCTCTTCATAAGAACTTAATAAGTACGTATTTCAGCGATTTGGGAAATTCCACCCGCAACAGTGGTAAATTGGCGGAAAACGGTTGTATAAAAGTTTTTTATTTACGATCCGATCGGCCCCAAACTTATTTTCAAAGACCTTTGTTCAAATTCATTTGAGGGGGGTTGTACACTTTTCGAAAAATCCGTTCCTTCTTGATGGAAATGGAGGTCAAAGATTTGGTGGGTGACGTTTCGCGCTCAAATTCATTTCCAAAGATCTATAAGAAAAATCATTTGAGATGTGTTTCACATTTTTTGCAAAATCTAAACTTCTTCGGTGGAAAATGCATTTCAAAGATATTTTGGGTGAATTTTAAGTTTTGTCCCGTCCGATCAGTTTCAAAATCATTTTCAAAGCTTTTTGAAAACATTTATTTTACAACATACGTGCCAGGGGCAAGGCCGGTTTATACCCTCTAGTACTCTATATATCTCTATATATAAAAATTTGTCCTGACTGACTGGATGGTGATCAGCGCAACGAATATTGAATATGCAGATAGCGCCACCTATGAGTCAGGATCAGCGGTGCAAGTTAGGAAAAAGTGGAAATGGGGAGAGTGGTTTTCATATTATGTTAAGAAATTGGAAATGGCGAATGTTCCACTATCCCATGTTAATATTTTTCGTTTAGCCGAACTTTGCTAATAGCACCCCTTTTTATTCTGTTCGTCAGTTAAGACAGTTGCGCTCGCGAGAGCAAGTGCGAAAAAACTTTTAATCGCGCCGTCTATATTGTTGCCGCCCATATAAGTACCAGATAATGGAAAAATAAATTTTTTTTTTTAAAATACTGAAAAAGTGCCAAGCCCAAAGAGTGGTAAGTTGGCCAAGGTTTTTTTTGGGTCTTAGAAAGATTGGCACTCCTGTCTAATTACAGGATTGGCCCCTAGTACGAGCTCCAAATAGTATGAGTTCAGAACGTAGTACGAGATGAAAAATAAGTACTAGACTAACGCCCGCTACCCGCCTAAATTTAGCACGAGGCTAAGTTAAGAACCAGTCGAATATAGTGAAGACTAAATTGCTGCCGAAAAAAAAAATTATTAAAAATCATTGAATTCGCCTAAGATGCTTGCGAACCCCCGATCAGATGTTTCCGCCGGAGATTAATTAATGCGCTCCCAGCATTAAGTTGAATTCGCCGTAAAGTGGAGCTTCAGGAAGAGACCATTGTCGCGGCAATATCGCAAAATCAGTACTACTCCGCACCTTAGCAGCAAATGTCGGCGGTGAAGCTGCTGATATTTCGGAATTTCGTCTTAAGTGTAATAATTCTATTGGCTGAGTCAATTTAGTAGCACGGTGTATAAGACAAATTTCATTTTTATTCAACTCAAATTTTTTCTTGTGTCTCGAAAATACTAGTGTAACAGCCAGAAATCACTGTATCATGATTGTCATGGGCATTATTGAAATCACATAGGCGAATCACGCAAAAAACTTTCAAAAGTGTCTTAAATTTAACAATTTTATTATCTCCAAAAAAAAAGCCACATGTAAATTTTCAATCGGTCCGTACTTCCTCAATTTTTTTTCTTCTCCGTTTTTTTTCTCTTTGTTGTGATGATCGCCATGTTGATCAAGAGAGAAACTTCTTGAAGAGTGAAAAAAAAAATATTTAAGAGAGTAACTAGAGCGAGAGAAAAGATAGCTGAGCCACATAGGACCAGAGCTTTTTTTATTTTTTCTTTTGGTGCCTTTTGTGCAATTTATTTTTTTTCAGCAAGTCGTCGCCGTACATCAACGCAAGCGCTTTTGGAGATGGATGGCATGTACGTAAGTGATATCATTATTTATTCTAAATTAAAGACTCTTTAATGAAGGCAAAGTGAGACTAAATTAAAAAAGAAAAAAAAAAGGAAAAAAAAGACAAAAAAAAAGGGAAAAGGAAAAAAAAAATTTAGCACAGAGTACGTTTAAGTGATATTCTTAGTTCTCTTGAATTTGATGTGAGGTCTAGTAGGAACAATGAAATCTTGTGTTATAATAAATAAGTTAGAGTGGAATTTTAACATGTGCTAATTTGTTATCCATGTGGAGCCATGCGTCGCCGAAGTATTAAAGTAGTGTAACCTTGTTGTTTACGGGTTCACCGACCAATTGTCTGGTCAAGCGGCCCTGGTGATCATGGTAGGGTGGGCAACAGCTCTAGCATTAACATCAGCACAGCATCTCAACAACAACATCAGCCACTAACCTTTTTTTGTCCCTGATCTGTCATTTTCTCAATATTTCCTCTTTCATTCAACTACAATCGAACTTCTCATCGGCACGCGAATTTATATGTAATTATGCATACATGCGAGTAGGTAGTAAAGTGATACCATATAGAACCCACCCCAGCCGACGTCATAGAGCCGGAACCAGCGCGTGCATCGCTAACAACTACACGTCCATCAACTCGCTAACATACGAGATATGTTACAGAGTTCTTTTGGATTCTAAACTCTTCATACAGTTACCATCGTTAACGAGGCAAAGGTGTACTTGGATTCATTAAACGTTGGTCTTAAAAGTGTTTAACGATCCTTTAATAACCAAACTCCTCGATTTCTCTTGTTCGCCCTATCCTTGAATACTGTTCTTGCATCTGGTCTCCGTAGTATAACAATAGCTAGGATCATATTGAATCTTCCTACATAAGTTGATTGTTGGCGATATAGATTCTTCTTATCTGTGAGGGCTTCTTCAATTCTATGTTCCGTCTAGACCTACCAGGAATTATCGCTCTTTATTCCTTCCTACGTGCACAACAGACTATGCTATGCATAATTCTTTTCGTATATTACGCACACATTACAATAGTGTACAGTACAATAGTAAAGTGAGAAAATATCTAGAAAAACGTTTTTATTAAACTTTTCTTTGTTCACACTTTTTTGTAAATCCATCACTCCTTTGTGGAAATTTTTTTTTTTTTTTTTGTAGTGGTCGACAAAACGAGTGTCTTCCTAATTATTCAATACATTTACAATTATGAAAATTAAATGCTAAATGCCTAGATAGAGAACACAAACTTCTAATAGCATCACCGACCGATGGAGGTGTTTTATTTGCCAGTCCGGCCAGCTGTGCCCCTTTTCACAGCTTATTTTGTCAGTGACGCTATTACATCTAAGAAGAAGGGTGTAAGTAGGAAAAAGTGTTCTTAAGTAAAATTAAAAATAATCTTAATTTGCTATATTATTTAAGAATATACCATAAATAGGAGAAAAGAAAGTAAGAAGATTGTTAATAAAGTAAAGGAATGTATGCTAGATATACAGAGTGTTAAGTAGATAGGATAAAGAGATAGTATTGGGAAAGTAATGGGAAATCACCGACCCGGTGGGGGAAAATTTACAGCCTGTCCGGCAAGCTATGCCCCTGCTCATAGCTGGGAATGTTCAGTGACTTCCCGAAGGTATCCTGAAAGCAACGATTTTATTAGGGGTAGAGAAAGTTCGGTAGAGAAAACGTGATGCAAACTATTGTAATTTTTACATAGCACGCGAAAAGGATTGTGCATAGCGCAGTCTGTTGTGCACGTCGATAGGAATAAGGGGCGGTAATTTCTGGTTGGTCTAGCCGGAACAGAGAATTGAAGACGCCCTAGCAGAAAAGGAGAATCTATATCGCCAACAACCAACTTATGTAGAAAGACAACACCGAGAATTGTCCTACGGTTGGTTAACGACGGAAGATTAAGAAGAAGCAGCCTGCTGGAATAGGATGGCAACCGAAGATTAGAGTCCCAATTTTAACCTCGTAAGGCAAAAAGCAGAAATTGCTTCTGAACAGATTCAATACGATCCTGGCTATTGTTATACTGCGGAGACCAGATGCAAGAGCAGTATTCAAGGATAGGACGAACAAGCGAGATGTACAGAAGTTTCGTTATAAAAGGATCGTTAAACTCTTTAGACCATTGTTTAATGAATCCAAGTACACCTTTTGTGAAGATTGAAGCAGAGTTTAGAATCAAAAAGAACGCCTAAATCCTTAACTGTTAGTATACGTTGCAATGGAGTATTGTCGATTGTATAACTGACAAGATAAGGTGTAGTACGATTAAATGTCATAAACATACACTTTGAACAATTCAGATGCAATTGATTGGCCGAACACCAAAGTTGCATAGCGTTCAAATCGTCTTGAAGACGAGAATGATGTAGGGGATTAGTGTATGATAGAATAAGTTTCACGTCGTCCGCATACATGAGTACACGGGCATGGGATATAACAGAGGGGAGATAATTTATAAAAAGAGTAAAGAGTAAAGGTACAAGATGACTACCTAGAGGAACACCAGAAGTAACGTGAACCTGTTTAGAGGTAGTCAGCCTCAGCATTACTCTTTGGGTCCTACCTTTTAAATAAAAACTAATCCAAAGCAAAAGAGACGGAGGGAAACCTATTCGGTCAAGTTTAAAAAGTAAAATGTCATGGTGCACAGAGTCAAATGCCTTACTGAAGTCAGTGTAAATGACATCAGTTTGCATTTTCGAAAGGAAAGCATCGTTTACCACGGAAGTAAACTCAAGCAGATTGGTCGTAGTTGACCGATTCTTTACGAATCTATGTTGAACAGTGGAAACAACTGATTTGCAGAAATGCTGCAAATTCGAAGTGATTATTTTTTCAAATAATTTAGGAATAGCGGACAGTTTTGCAATGCCCCTGTAATTTTGTATATCAGACTTTCCACCTTTCTTGTGGAGAGAAATGATATAAGATTCTTTCCAAAGAGATGGAAAGACAGAAGATTCAAGGGATAGATTAAAAAGCTTTAGCAATGGATAAACAAGGGAAGAACTACATTCCTTGAGTAGACAACTAGGAATATTGTCAGGCCCAGGAGAGAAAGAAGATTTTAAAGAATTTGAAGCTAAAAGGAGAGAGGAATGGGAAATAATAGGAGGAGGTATAGAACTAGAGGAAGTAATAGTATAAGAGAAAAAATTATTATTAGGACAGACTGAAGAGTAAGTTGATTGAAAAAAATTAGCAAAGAGGTTAGCAGAATCAGAGTCATTGTCAGCTTTATCCATCCCGAGAGAAAAAGAGATTGGCAAACTTGAAGATTTCCGCTTCAAGTTTACAAAATTGTAAAACTGTCTCGGATTTAGAGCATTGAAATTCAGAAGAAAGAAGTTCGACTTGGCTATGGAATATTTAGCCAAGTCTGTACACGAACCAGACTTATTAAACTTTTTAAGATTTTATATTTTTTAGATTTGATAATCTGGGAGTAAACCAAGGTGGCTTTGAAGAAGTAGTCGAAGGAATTGACTTGGGAATACACATATCTAAGAGGGAGTTTAGGGTGTTATAAAAAAATTTAATAGCAATATTCATGTCAACCGAGTCATATAAGAAAGAACAATCGGTTGCATAAATAAGCTGATTCAGCAATGCATAATTACCTTTGCGAAAGCAACGGCGGGGCTTATTGGCTGATGAGCACGAAATGAGAGGATTACAATTGAACATTGCAACCTCTAAAGTAGGATGATATACATCCTCAGGAAGAGATAAAGGAGGGGACCTAGACACATTAGAAATAAGGTAGTCGTTAACAAATACAAGATCAAGTGTTCTATAACAGCTATATTTTCAAGTCTGGCCAGTTTTTCAACTGCATATGTGTTTACATTATAATTATAATAATAAATAATTTTTTTTTAATCAACTGCATGGGAATCGGCGAGAAAGGCATCCGTATTGTATGGGTGGATTATTTGAAATCTAACAAGCGTGCTAAATATAATGAACAGACCATAGATGGACATGGAGAAAAGTCCCACCGAGCGACGGGCATGAAAATTCAACACCGATGTCCAAAGCAGCGTCGATAGCAGACCTAATATCAACAGGACAAATGCATTTTCCCCATATGCTCCAATCAAAGCATTCATTGAAGTACTACGGCCTAAATAAATCTTTACGGCAAACATACTGCCTGTACCAAGCAGAATTTTAAAGAATGGACCCCCAATGGCTGCTGCATACGCCATTTTCTCATACCCCTGCAGAGTCATAGACATTATCGTTACAAGATCAATCAAGGAGATGGCGATGGATATCACAGTGGCACCCATAAAATCATTAGGTACTTTTAACATATGGCCAAGGACCTCCGTTATTACAGTTATTTCGGTGGAGCACTGAAACATCAGAAAAATGGATCCAGTAAGATTGGGAACTGTAAACATCCAGTGATATGACGGCGGGGCACTTGTATTCGAATGAACAAACACAGCTATGGCTATGGGCACTGTTACCACCAGGGAGTAAAGTCCGTATTTTACGTCATTTGGTACGTTATAATACCAAAGCTTCGATTTTTCCCTAAATACCATGGCCTTGCCCATTGTGATTGTAACCGCTGGGTTAAGGAAAATTTGTATGCAATTAAGCAGCTTACTCCAGCCATTCTTGTCCAGCTCGTAATCCACCAAGGGTATATAAATGGCACTTAAAAACACACCAGGAGCCCGAACTATATAGAAGGCGCGATGTAACATGGTAGCCTGGCGCCATTCATTTAATTTTATGGGCTGGATTGCAGAGAAGAATTCCGTAAAGAGACGGTGATTCTTGTTTCGGGCCATGGGGTAATATGTATTGCGCTTGGCCTCCATGTCAATACTGACACGTTCCATTCCGACTTTTGTCATAAAGCTGAAAGTTCGATCACATGGATACGTCGTTTTGCGCTGCAATAAAGTTACGCGATCATCCTCAGAAAGGACGTCATATTTTTTTTGTAGTGTCTCGCGCCTTTCTTTAACCTCTTCTGACTGTGGCAATTCGTACAGTGCGTTGATTTCGCGTGCCAAAGCTACGAAAAGCAAATAGATGTTAGCCAAGTACAGCAACATTTCAGAAAACGCGCAACTTACCTTTTACGGCACGTTTCATAATATACACATCGACCACGGTGACAACTATGTATATGACGTACACCGCCACCAGAAGGATACACTCAGCGAGCGAAACCGTCTCATCACTGATTATAATAAGCTCAAGCAGCATCACGCCAAAGATAGAGAAGACTAGATCGCGTACGGTATCATATGCATTCATTTTAAATGGACTCATATAGCATACCAATCCCCCCGCGAACATAGTTACAAATAATGCCGAAGAAAGGCAATTGGCGAACATGGGTGTATCGTCATTAATAGTCCACAATAGTGCAAACAGATCTGGTAGTGTGTTGCCAAGTACCATGATCGTCACGCCAGCCAGATGCTCGTTCATGTGAAGCATTCGGGAAACGACCTTCAACGCCGGAGTGTAATAATTATGCGCCACATTGCTCATGCAGATTAACAACTCAAAGGAAAAAAGCAGGAAGGCTGTCACATAGACCATCTCTTCAAAATGGTTTTCACATTTTAAATCGCATGCCAACAATTGCATATACGGCACGAAATTCGTGCCTTGTATGCAGTTATTTGCACTTCTCACAAACTTGCATCTTTGGTCATACGCAAAGTCCACGACAGCATAACAATTGACATTTGACCAAAACTCGTCGAATTCTCTATCCAAAACGTTTCCTGTATGCATGTTGGCCATGATCTTAAGTATATAGGTATGTATATTGAACTTGAACTGTGTTTGTGTAAACTTTGTGTTGCGTTCAAAATATAATTTCAACTGAATATGTTTGACTTCAAAATTCTGTTCGAACAGAAAAAAAACAGAAAGAGCACCTGATTGGTTTTTCGAAAATAATAATAATAAATAATACATTTTTAGGATAGTTTATTTATTATAAAAATTGTGGACAAAACTAGTCTATGCATATCCGAAGAATGATAAATAAATTTATTGTTTAATTACTATTTTTTTTTTGCTTTTAGAACAAATTGAAATGTTAACTTTTAAGGGCATCCGCTATAAAGTCATCCTTATTGTATGCATGAATAATTCGAGACTTTATAAGTATAGCGAATATGAGGAAGAGACCGTAGATGGACATAGAGAATATCCCAACCGAGCGTCGTGAATTAAAATTCAATATCAATGTCCACAGCAGCGTGGTAGCAAGTCCTAGAATCAACAAGATATACGCAGTCACGCCATAGGTTCCACTAACGCATTCAAAAGTCAAATTTTTGCCAATTATACTCTTGGCGAAAAATGCAATGCCAGTGTTCATTATTACATTGAGATAGGCGCCACCAATGGTTGCTGCGTACGCCATTTTCTCATATCCCTGCAAAGCCAAGGAGACACTGGCCACGACCTGACTCAGGGCGAAGGCAATGGGAAGTATGGTCGCGCTCATGAAATCGGTCGGAACATCATAGATGCTACTAATCATATTCATTATCAAAGATATTTCAGTCGCACACTGGAATGTCATAAACATGGATCCAGTTAAATTCATTAACATATAAATCCAGTGATACGGCGGCGGACACCTAGTACTTGAGTTAATCATCACAAAGATGGCCAGGGGCACCGTTATCACCAGGGAGTAGAGGCCGTATATAAGAGCCCCTGGTATATTGTAATACCAGAGCTTCGATTTGTCTCTAAACAGCATAGCCTTGCCCATTATAAGGGTGATCGCCGGATTTAGGAAAATATGAATGCAATTAAGCAGCTTGCTCCAGCCATTCTTTTCCAGCTCATAATCGACCAATGGTATATAGATCGTACATATCAGCGTTATTGGGGCCACGGCAATGTAGAAGAGGCGTGTCAACATATCAGCCTGGCGCCAATCATCTAAAGAGATCGGATTGATTGCAACGAAGAATTCCCTAAAGAGATTGTGATTCGTGTTACTGGCGTGTCTGTAGTTTCTTAATCGATTTGCTGATATATTAAGGGCCTCGCGTCTCTGAGACCGCCTGGTCATATAAGTAAACGTAGGGCCCTTTATTAGGGGCCTCCATGTCGATCGACGCTGTAGTATATCTATGCGATCATCCTCAATCAGTGAGTCATATCTGCTTTGTAGTTCCTTACGCTTGAAAACAATCGCATCTGTATCTGCCAAATTTTCCAATTCCACAGTTTCCTGCAGGTCCCTAATTTGATTACGCAGCGCTAAAATGTGAGCACAGATTTTAACTATGATGAGCAACAACTGGATACAAATACAACTCACATTTCAAGGTAATGCGTACCAAATATACATCGAACACACATACCGTCAAGTATATGACATACACAGCTATTAACAGGATGCACTCAGTAAATTGAACCCTTTCACCCGTGATGAGCATGTAATCCAGCAGTTCCACGCCAAAGATGAAGAAAAGTAGATCCCTTATTGTGCTATATGAACTCATTTTAAACGGACTGACATAGCAGACCAATCCACCGATGAACATGACCATAAACAAAGAATTAGCGAGGCTATTGGCCAAAACGGGAACATCATCGTTCAATGCCGTTAAACTGTAAAACAGATCTGTCGTTGTATTGCCAAATGCCAATATTGTCACCCCAGCCAGATGTTCGCTCATGTGAAGCATTCGGGAAACGGCTTTCAACGCCGGAGTGTAATAATAATGCACCACATAGCCGAGGCATAGCAGCAACTCGAACCATACAATTGAGAAAAATGCGACAAAGACGTGCTCCTCGAACTGGTTTTTACATTCTAAACTGCATGCCATTAAGTGCATATATGGCACAAAGTTCGCACCGGTTAAGCAGTGACTGGATTTTTTCACAAATTCGCATCTCTTACTAAATGGAAAGGTCAGCATAACAGCATAACAATTTGCCGTTGCAGAAAAATCAGCAAATTCTGTATCCAACAAATTTGGCGTATATGTTTCGTCCATGATTGTCAATTTAATTATCTATATCAAGTGTTAAATTTCTAAACAATTTTTTTTTTTTTTTGTCATTTATGTAAATTTTTTTAACCGAAATTTTGGTTTATGCTGATTGTTTAATTGACTTAAATTTCATAGAAAAATTTCCTTTTTTTTTTTTTTACTTTTAAAATGAATAGCATTATTAAGTAATTAAATCTTTAGAATTGCTAGGAAAACCATCGGTCATGTCTTCTATGTCATATGAGTGAATAATTCCTTCCTTTATAAGTACAGCAAATAAAAGAAACAGACAGTAGATGGCCATGGAGAAAACCCCAACCGAGCGTCGTGCATTATAATTCAGCACAGATGTCCACAGCAACGTTGCTAGAAGTCCCAGACGCAGCATAATTAACGCATTTTCACCATAAACACCAATCATTGTTAAATCGGGAGTAGCGTCAGAAAAAATCGTTCCAAGAATTGCACTAGCGGTGCCCAGAATTATAGAGAAAAATGGACCTCCAATGACAGCTGCATATGCCATTCTCTGATAGCCTTGTAATGCCATGGAAACTGTCGTTACCAGATCAGCCAAGCCACTGGCAACTGCGAGTGTAGTGGCACCCATGAAGTCGGATGGAACTTTCATTAGGTTACCAATCACTTCTGTAATCAATGATATTTCAGCGACACACTGGAACATCAGAAATATGGAACCAGTTAAGTTCATAATTGTAAATATCCAGTGATATGACGGCGGGGCACTGGGTTTCGAGTGGAAAAACACAACTATGGCTATGGGCACTGTTACCGCCAGGGAGTAAAGGCCGTATTTAACGTCATCTGCTATATTACGATACCAGAGCTTCGATTTATCTCTGAATACCAGGGCCTTGGCTAAAATGATTGTAAACGCCGGATTGAGGAAGATTTGTATGCAATTGAGCAGCTTACTCCAGCCATTCTTCTCCAGTTCGTAATCGACTAAGGGTATATAAATGGCACACAGCACCGCAACCGGAGCCCGAGCAATCAAGAAGGCGCGTATGAAAACATTCGCCTTGCGCCAATCTTCTTTGTGAAAGGGATTGAGTGCCAAAAAGAATTCCTTAAAGAGGTGGCGATTCCTGCTTTGGACGAAGACTAAAACATCGCTCTTGTCCTTCAAATTAATCCTTGAATGCGAACTCATGCGTCTGGTCATATAAGTGAAAGTTGGATCTTTTACGGATGAACGAAGATTCGATCGGCGGTGCAGTAATTCAACTCGATCATCTCTGGCCAGGAAGTTATATTTTTGTAAAAGCAATTTATGCTTTGCTTCCACGCCTGGAGTCTGTTCCTCTTCATTAAGCTTGTCTATTTCTCGCTTTATTGCTGTGATTAGGGCAACATGTCAGTTAACTGAATACTCTTAACAATCGCTACTTACATTGCATGGCAATGCGCATGAGATATAGATCAAGCACATTGACGATCAAATATAACAGGTAGACAACAATAAGCACAACGGACTCACTCATCGTAACATGTCCTCCAGTTATAAACATAAACTCCACCAGCTGCAAGCCAAGTATGAAGAATAGTAGATCGCGCACGGTATTGTATGGATTCATTTCGAATGGACTGATATAGCAGACCAATCCCCCAACAAACATGACTACAAATAATGCCACTGCGATTGAATTGGCAAATATGGGTACATTTTTCTCCTTGATTGCCAATAAATTCGCAAATAGATCCGGCAATGTGTTGCCAACTGCCAAGATCGTCACGCCAGCCAGATGCTCGTTCATGCGAAGCATTCGGGAAACAACCTTCAACGCGGGCGTGTAATAATAATGCACCACATGGCCCAGGCAGATTAGAAACTCAAAGGAAAAAAGCAGAAAGAGTGTCACATAGACCATCTCTTCAAACTGGTTTTTGCATTTCAAATTGCATGCCAATAAATGCATATACGGCACGACGTTCGTGCCATGTACGCAGCTATTGGCTTTTTTCACAAATTCGCATCTTTGGTCATACGGAAAGTCCAGTACAACATAACAGTTGACGCTATTCCAAAATTCATCAAACACTGTGTCCAAAATGTTTGGTTTATATTGTATGTCCATGATCTTTAACTTGATTTTTTATAAACGAGGTTTTTTTTCGGGTTTTGTGTTGTATTCGAGTAAAATTTTTGTATATGACTTATCTCAAATGGAATACCTTGAGGGTTTTCAAAATCCAAGCTGTATACTTATTTATTTCGGGATTATCTATCTTATTTCGGGATTATTTTCCCCGGGACATAAAAATAATAATATATGTAGCCATTGTATAGTCCCCATTACTTACCCAATAACAGACTGAAGTAGACGGAAGTTTTGCTGCAGTATTGCTTATAACCGAAGTTCTTATAGAATATACAGAAGACATGCGGTGCCCAGCATATGATGAAGATTAAGGCGGAAGCAATTAGCATATTGGCCAGATGACGACGCGATCGCAATGTGGACGTCTGAGGCAGAGGTATACCAGGCGTAGCCGGACCGCGGCCCCCCGCACGAAAAATGCGCTGCCGTTGTGAGTGAGCACGAATCTCCCGCATAGCCCTGAAAGATTGCATTGTCCTGAATGGATACGCTTACATATGATATTGGGCTTATCAGCTTACCTGGGCGAAATGGGATTGCTGGAGCGATAGGAGCCCGGCTCAAGTGCTGCACTGGAGCCCGGCCGACATGGCTGTAAGTTATGCAATTGTATATCTCCCGGATTGATGGCAATTTGGCCGCCTCCATTGCCATTTCCATTGGATGTGTCATCGGCTGTGGTCGCTCCACCGCATCCAGCCTGCTGAGCATTCGCGCAACCCGTAACTATAACCATGTGGGTCTGGCGCCGCAATATCGGCATGGGCAACGGCAGTTCGCCATGCGCCGCTCGGGCGGTCAGCGACAATGCACAGAGCTTGCGACGTACACCATAGTGATTGAGTAGCACACCCACGCCGGGCAGCACAAATACCGCAATCGTATGAAAGATGATGAACGACATGAACATGGCATTGGCTCCCAACTCTGAGGTGCAGCTAATGCTAACTGGGTTTGGCGTTGTGCCCGTTCCGGCGCCCTTAATGATCACCGACTTGGCTATTATCTTATAGGCAAACAAGAATGGCGTGCTAATAGCTGCCGAGGCAATCCACGAGAGGATGGCCAGCGAGACGTGCAGATAGCGGCGCTGACGCAACTGAGCCAAGCGCGGATGTTTTACGGTGGCATAACGATCCAGCGAGAGCATGAAGAAGGAAATTGTGCTGGCTGCCACTGGCATGACCTGTGGATTTCATAAAAATTAGAACAAAATAAACCATATACAATCAAAATTTAATAAAAATAAATCAAAATTTTGTTGGCCTCTTAAAAAATATTTCGCGCCAATATCAGTTGTAGTCCTGGGCTTTTAACATTTTGCTGTTAAGCTCAGCTGGTGCTGTTAAATGTACGATATTTCTAATAGTTTTAATCGATATTTTTAGTAAAAACGCGGCCCTAAAAGTGCGCGAAAATGGTCACAAAAAGTTTTTGTGTTTTTAAATAAAAAGTGAAGTTTATACAATATTTAAACATGTTTAGCATTGTTTGTGCTTACCTGAACATAGTGTATTATTTTGCATAGTAAAAGTGGTAAAGATCTTGTGCCGCGATTCATGGCCAGATTCAGCAGCGTAACTGGCGCTGAAATGCCCGTAACCAAAAGATCGGCAATGCATACGGCCAGCAGCAGCGGATTTCGCAAACGCACCGATGAAGCCGAGCACAGGGTGAGTACCAAAGTTGAATTGCCCACAACGCCTCCAAATACAACCAGACCATAGCTAATGGCCAGCAATAGAATAGTCAATGATGGAATCGCATGCTCAGTATCCGCGCCAGCTTCAATATCATAGGGATTGGTCAGCGTAAAGTTTCCATAGCTATCGTAGTCAAAGCTGCTGGCCAATTGACCGCCAAAACTGCCTTCAATGCCGCCGATGTCCCCACCAAAGTTGTTTTGCTCGAGAAGCGCATAGTGCAGCTGTTCAGTGGTATCGCTGTCGTTATCGTTATCGATATTGCTATCGACAGTCGGTTGCTGTTGGTGCTGTCGTCGGTATGAGTTTTCCCACCATTGCTGCAGGTTGTTGCTATTCATCCTTTAATCAAACTCGTTTATTACTAATACTTGGCGCTGCCGATCGTTGTCGATGCGTTTGTCTGGCTGCCTCATTGCATACTAAAGGTGCTAGGTGCTGGTGCTGCTCGGAGGAAAAAAAAAATAGGTAGCAAGTAACAAAATGCCATCATCATCAGTCTTTTATACCCAGCACTTATTGAGTGCATAGAGTAGATACTATTATTGATAAATTGCTAATAGGAGCAAAACGCTTTAAACTAATTTGTTGCTATTGCACTTATACTAAACAACATATTTCTAAGACTGAAATTGAAATTTACGAGCCCCAATAAATATACTACATTTTATTGTGACGACAAACAGCGACGTATGCGTGATAAAAGATTAAATTGCATTCGTTTAAACAAGGCGAAATAAGAAATACGCAGAAAATAACAATAGAAAACTAAAATCAAAAATATTGCTAAAAGTCGACACCTTTGTTAAACATATTAATGATTTCTTAACAGTTATTTACGAGGTGTTAGCAAGTCGAACAAATGGCGTTGCATTCATTCTTGTTTTGTTTCAACAAGGACACACAAAGTGACAGCTACATGCGCACCCATGCACATTCACACACATAGACACACACACACACACATAAACTCTTGTACAAGAGCCTTTGCCTGACACTGACACTTATGCAATGCGAACAGGGCGCACTCAGAGATTAGTGCTGTGCTTCCTTCCGCCGTGCCCCATTTTGCCAAGCCAAAATGAATGGCAACCTTGCACTTTGCGCCCACGCCAAACAACCGCAAGGATTGGCGTCACCTTCAAACCCATGCCGGCTGCTGTGCTGGCGTTTAAGCGCCAGCCCAGCCCATCAAGAAAATGTGCGGGTCGGGGGCGCACCGGATGCTTAATTGCGCGTTAAAGCACAGCAAGAGAAAAGACGCAAGGCGCAAATTTAAATGATGCTGCATGTGCAGGAGCAATAAATGCAAGCTGAGCTATTAAAAACTTTAATTGAAATTGTTATCACAAGCGGGCGAACGACCAAGCGAAGCTCATTAAGCGCGGGAACAAAACATCAGGCGCAAGGGTGACTCAAGATTTGATCACAATGCGCAACACTTGCCATAATGAAATTGTTTGTTCAGGCGGCATGAGTCACCCTCATGTTTTGTTCTAGCAATGATTAAAAGGCACCCACACACACACGCGTGTGTGCGTGTGTGCACAAAAGCTCTGGCAGACAGCGCGCTTTGTTGTCTGCGTGCGTGCGCGCGTGTGTGTGTGTGTGTGTGTGTGTGTGTGTGGCGTTTGCTTGCGTCAGTTTGTGTGGTTTGGTCTGCCGCATGTGTGTATCAATTTTTGTTGTTGGTGGCATTTCAGTCGCCGCCATTGTTCCGCGCAATTTGTGCATGTGTGTGTGCCCGTGTGCCAGTTTGTGTGAGTTTTTGTCAACGTCGACGCTTTTGCTTTCTGCCCTTCGCGCGGCTGCTGTGGATGATTTGACTGACGTTTGCTTAATCTGCTTAATTTGCGTTAATTTAATCGTGGTCGCGAGTGTGAGTGTGTGTGTGTGTGTGTGTGTGTGTCCACATGTCGGTTCCTTAAGCCAAAAGTCATGTGTAAAGTAATGCGTTTGCATTGCTTTGCATGTGTATGTGAGTGTGTCCGTGTCTTTCTACTCTGCAGAATAATAAAAATAACCTGTTGGATTAGCTTTTCTCACATTGTTGCAATTTTTTAAAATCTATTTATTTGTATGCAAAAGTGTTTACATTAAAGGCGTTAAAAGATAGAACTCATATTTTGTATTATCAAGAATAATATAAAAATTATTGAATATTAGAAATCAAATATGTAAAAAATGCAAAGTAAAATGGATAGCCTGATAAGAGATAACTCTGCATATAAGAAAGGCAACTTTATAACGCAGGCGTTTGAATTGCTTATTGGAAATTTAAATGTGAATCCATATTAATTTACGTCACTCAAACGTCGGAAGCAGGCACAAAAGGTGACAAAAAGCCGTTGCACCCCGCCTGCTGCCTGCTGCCTGCTGTCTGAATGGACAAAAGAGAAGCCAATAAGATAAAATCCAGGATCCGGGGCGTATACGTAATGCGTGGGATGGAAAGAGATGGCTTCGATTGTTGTTATTGCACCCTAATATGAAAACTGTCAGCCACAGGTGATTTAATAACAAGGCGCCTACGCATACACACGCAATAAAGCCGCCAGGATACACACGCACAAGATACACACAGCACACACACAGCACACACACACACATATACATACACAGCGCGCAAGAGAAGCAACTTGATGGCGTTTGCTCGCCCGCTGCTTTTGTCTGTTCTTATTGATTTGACAGCTAACAATTTGTGCGAGTGCGAGCGTGCTGGTGAATGTCCAGGCGTCTTTTAGCTTCTTCGTGCCTGCCACAATACAAAATGGCAAACAAACAAGTTAGCCTGCCTCTGTGTGCGTGTGTGTGTGTGTGTGAGAGCGTTTACCGTTGTCTTTGCCCTTCTTCGCTTGAAAGCCACCAAAAAGAAAAAACTTTTTCGGGAATGGCAACTTGTGTAAAGTTTAGCGGCGAACAATGAAAAGTGCGTGGGCAGGGCAAAAGCAAAGACAGCACCCGTACGCACACATACACATTTACATAAAGAGAGGGAGCGAGACAAAAACTTCTATTGGCCGTGTAAAAAACGACGCTATAATTACTAGCCATAAAAATGCGTGGCGTGGCCAAAGAAGCTGAATAACAATTAGTGTGGAATCAGTAGACGGCAACGCCAACGCACACAAACACTCCCCCACACACACACACACATATATATATATACACACAACATACATACATGCACGCGCGTTGAGTATACGTAATAACTTACAGTTTTGTTGTTGCGCGCTTCAAGTAAAATGAAAAAAGCTAACGGATTTCTTTGCTGTTGTTTTGTGTAGCGACTGTTGTTGTTTACTTTATCGAAGGCACTGTAATTTACAGTTAGTACTATTTTTTTTATATATATTTAAATATCGTTATTGCAGCGGGCGCGTCTGAGTCGTTGTTGTATTTTTGTTTTGTTTTTATATATCAAATACACTTTTAGCAAATATTTTTTTTTACATTTTTGTTGTTTATTTTTTATTTGTTGTTTGGTTTTTAATGTAGATTTCGTTTATAAAATTGTTTTTTTTTTAAAAAAATTCTTGGATGCGTGTGCGTGCTTGAGTGTGTGTGCGTGTAAGTGTGCGTGTGCGTGTGTGTGTGTGTGTTGGGAAAAAACTAAAATAAAACTCAATGTGCGGTGTGCAGAAATTGTTCCTCAATGGCGCACATTACACGATAGGACTACGGCGGAAGACTGTCCTCTGTGACAGTGAAAATTTTGCTGAAGCCAACCAATCAGCCAAACAGCCAACCAGCCAGCCAGAGAGCAGAGTTCGGAGTTAAAAGTCGCGAGAGACGCCGACACCGCCGACAGGCGCCGAAATCAGGAAGCTTTTTTGGGTCAGGGAGAAAGCTTTTTGCTTGACTTTCGCTTTCATTTAGTCGCCAGGACCCTGCTGCGCTCTGATTAGGGCCAATACGATTTTTAGATATACTTATTATACTATTACAAAAGTTTACAATGGACGCTCGGAAATTAAAATCGGAATTTTTGACTAGGTAAAATTCTCATACTTTAAAAACTCTTTTTCAATTTCTTCTAATTTAAACTATTTTTTGTGATATGACTAGTCCGCTGTTCATCAAAATTATAATACCCTCAGCCAGGGTATCTAAATGGGGCAATCAAAAATATATTATTGAATAACTTTTCGAATTGAAACTCTCTTGTTGGCAAAATAGTTTTCGTAATTAAATTAAGGGTGCGACTAAAAGTTGTTAAATATTGAGGATTTTTATTTCTAAAATTTAATGAAAACGTTTCTACCCAATCGGTATAAATAAATAAATTTCAGTTTAAATACTAACATTTTTTTCTCTTTATTTAAATATTTTTGTATATGATTAAAATGCATGATGTACTTTTAATAGTCGCAACTCTTGTATTGGATTTCCTTCCGTTGTATACTTCGATTTTTTGTTGTTGTATATATATTTATATATGTAACTTATGCGCTTAATTATACATTGTAGTTGTGTTTATTTTTGTTCTTTTTCTTGTTATGTTTGTTGTTGTTCATGATGCTGTCGTAAATGGACAATGCAATACTGTAAATGAAAGAGTCTTATATAACTAAGCAGCATATTTTATAAATTATATATATAAATATTTAAATGTAGTTTTGTTTGATTGGAATAGAGGTTTTGGACAAATTTTAAGCCTAATCATGGGCGGCAATAAATTAAAGACAGTGAATTATACAAATTAGATCATAAATAGAAAATAAATTACGAAAACTAATTACCAAATTATGAATCGTAATCGTAATGCTGATAAATACACAAACGATATTTGAGATATTAGTTTTGGGTGCTGGTTAGTTCGGAGTAGTAAAATACTTTAAACTTATAGCATAAAATGTTGATGAGTTAATTGCTTTTGTTTTTTGTTTTTTTGTTTTTTTTTTTGTTTGTGTTTTGTTTTCTTTCTTTCAGTAAGTAGCAGCAGAGTTTCGTTGATCAGTTCAAGTTTTTTTATAGTATCTATGTATATAGAGCAGTATTGTTGTTGGCAGCGGTATACTTAATGTTTTTTTTATCTTTTTTTTTAATTTTTTAAATATATATATTTTGTTTTTTTTTTTTTTTTGTTGCTTGTGGGGGGAATGAAATGCACCCATTTCTCTAATCTTCAATAGTATATTCGGGCATCTTTTCATACTTCTGCTTGGTAGCTTCGTGTGTGGTGTCCACAAGCAAAGCTGTATGGGAATAGCCCATGGTAACCTGAGGTATTTTAATGTTGTCCATTTTGGGCACCTCTTTGGGCACCGTCGACGACTTTTGAAACTCGCCAATGCCCAGCTCACCAAAGGTTGGCGATGCGCCCCAGGCAATAAGCGTATCATCAGCCGATATCATGATTGAGGTATTGGCACAGCCAATTGATGTTATGTTCCAGCCTGTATATGGAATAGAGAGAATATAGGCTTTAGTAAGGTTTGGTATGGATGCTTAGTTCAACTTGCCTGCTAAATCTTGCACTGGCTTGGGATACATGTTGGCCTCGCCCGTTTTCTTGTTCTGCCCAAAGAGATAGAGCAGGCCCAGCTCGTTGATAATCAAACTGAATGTTGAACCGCAGTAGACACTGCGTCCGCCTCGACCCTGGGTATCAAAGAACTTCATAAGACGCGGCACCATCTCATCCTTGGGCTCGGCGTGTCCCAGACGCCCAAAGCCGCCAAAGCCCCAGCTGTAAACGCGCTTTTTAGAGTCTATGGCCACCTGTTTGTTAATTAAGACAACGTTTAGCGAGCTGCATATTTATAGAAATCCTGGAACATACCGTGTGATTGTTGCCACATGCAAAGTCCACAATCTGTACACCATCCACGGGTGTCACATGCCCCTCCTTGCTCTTTTCAATATAGAGTACAACCCTTTTCGGTGATGTCTCAAAATGGAATGACAGCTTATTGGCATTCACAAAATACTTGGCATCCGTATTGTGGCCCAATTGGCCATATTCCGGCAAACCAAATGTGTGCAAATTGCCCTTGATATCGAGAATGACTGAGAATTCGGCCCCGCAGCCAATGCGTATTATGGGCGGACCACGATAATTAATCGGAGTGGGCGTAAAGATATTGGGATGTGCATTGCCCACGCCGCACTGACCGGACTTGTTTTCGCCACAGGCGTAAACTGTGCCCGTGTCGGTAAGGAAAAGGGTATGATGACGCCCAGCGGCGGCTTGTACAATGTTAAGCTGTTCCAGTGCAGGAATAATTGTGGGCTTCTCCACCAGCTTCATGTCCTGACTCAAGCCCAACTGACCGCTGGGATTGCGTCCAAAGCCAAGTGCTTTGCGATCCATATTGATGAGTATAGTGTGCGCCGCAGTGGCACCGCTGGCCACAGAGCGGTACTGCAAGTTGGCATAAAAGGAAAATATGAATTACATTTAATTTCAATACACACTTTCAGCAAAAACTCACCTTCTCATCCGTGAAGCGATGAAAGCTATACAGATTGGGACGCACTTTTGTGACATTTTTGCGATCCCGTTTGCCGGTTAGATCCCAGGTAACCATACCAGCTATCAGCAACTGTCCTGGCGTCTTTTCTAGCGTGGCCAGTAGATCCTCCGGCAGCTTGCTGGGTGGATCCAGATTATCATGTGGTATTAGCACCTCCATTTGGCCGGCCGCCTGCTGTTGCTGTTGGGCCAAATCATCGTCGGACTCATCACTAAACTCATCCTCGTAGTCCGATTCCTTCTTCTTTGGGTGACGCTTGTTGGGACCAGCCCCGTTACCACCTGCCTTGCGCTTAGCCGACATCTTTCAATTAGCAGTAATGCGTCTCTATCTCTCTCTCGCTCTATCTTTGTCTCTCTGCGGCTGTAAAGAGACCAGCAAGCGTTGAGAACCAGAACCAGAATTTGAACGCAGCAGAGCGTAGCGGTAGCCGTTAGTGCTGCGTGCGTGACAAGACGCTTACGTGTATGTTATTCATTTATTATTACAACTAGCTATTTAGGCATTAAAACTTTTAAAAAATTTTAGTTTAACTGTTCTTCTAACTTTGCGCATCAAAAATTATAAAGTTTTAATTAAATATAATTTATAGTTTTGCAAAATTACTGAACGTGTCTTGTTGCGAATATTTTAAAACGCGCATCTCTAATCGTAGCTCTCACGCGCTGTTTGTTCTATGTGTGCGTGCATTGTATGTGTGTGTGTGTGTGGTGGTTTTGCAAGCATGGAAAAACAAAATGAACGCCAACAAAGTAAGCCCGATGCGCTGCTAACGCCGACTGCGGTACTTTTGCAATTTTACTGAAAAACCACACAAATTCGCATTAAATTAAAGTATCTGTTTATCCACCTGTCAGTTAATAAGGCGGTACCTAATGTCCGCTATCTCAAACAAATGAATTAATTGAACGGCGGCTCAAAATCAAATTTGAAATGTTAGCGTCACTTTTACAAAACACACAGCATATACAAAGACAGCGCGACAAGGAGCTAAACGAACATTGATTGAAAGACGTTATACTTAGCCACACCGCGACTTAAAGGATCACTAAATTTAAGGCTACATTACGCGCTAATAACTTACATTTCAAGCTTTACTAACTAATAACTTTTCGTATACCGTTCCTGTTCCGTACGCAGCAAAAACAACAAAACGCAAACCAGCAATAGGATGAAGTGTGTGCACAGTTCGCAACACAAAAATAACTAAAATAAAAAATACCACATGAAGTGAGCTCTAAACATTTTATTTTTCGATTTTTAAAAATACATCTATCGATATTATTTATGTTTCACTAACGATAGTATTCTGCAGCCCTAGTATTCGCGGCCCAACAACAAAATAACATTGTTATTTTTGGAGCGCATAAAAGGGGTTGGCTTTTAGGCCAGGACAGGGATAAAATGGACAACGACGAGACTGAAACAACACATTATTACTTGGAATGCGAGGTCGGCGTGGAGGAATGGCACTGGAATCCCAAGAGCACGAAGCTGCTGGTCGAACTCTATTCGGAGCGGCGTCACAGATTTCGTGATCCGAAAATCCGCAAACGTGCCCTCTGGACAGAGATTGTGGATGGCATGGAGCGTGCCGGTTTCAAGGGCATCAATGAGGATATCTGTGATCGCAAATGGCGCAATATGAAGAAAACGTATCGAACATGCCGCGAAACGCTTAGAAAAACCGGACGCAAACGCGTTGGCTGGGAATATTATGATACGTTCGATGAAATGTTTCAAAATGAAAATGCGCCCGCCACCGTAAAGCTAGAAGATGATTCATTGCCAGACGAGCAGCAGCGTACAGCACTGGCGGATTTGTGCAGCGCAACAGTCGAGGCACAAGCCCTGGGCACAGACAATGCCGGCGATCTGTCTGTGAGCCAGGAGCAGCAGCGACAGCTGTTAATCCTCGAGCGCAATCGGATCGCTGCCATACGAGAGCTAAGCAAACGGATTGAAGAGTCCAATGCGATACAGCGTGAACGCAACGATCTGCTGCGCGAGTATCTCGCACAATTATAGCCATAGGATAAATCAAATTGTTAAGCTTCATAAAATTCTTAAAGTAATTCGACTGTATTGGCAATAATTGAATAGTTGATAGGTCTTTTCTTGTATATTTAAATATTATGGAAATCGAACATAAATATAATTTTAAAGGTAAATTTATCGTTTAGCACATGAATTGTATATTTTAAAAAATTAGGCCCAATGCATGATTTGCAATTGCATATTCTAGAATTGTATCAGCGGCTGTTTTCGGCGCTCCCGATACGCTACAATGTCGGGCATGACAACTTGTCGAAATCGTTCGTGATTCCGCTTAAACTCCTCCACAGCTTTGGCCACACGACGCTGTTGCTCCAAGCGATCAATGGGCCTGCTAATATTGTTGTTATTATTATTATAGCTGCTGCTGCTGCTCGCTAATACTGTGGATCTGGCCGTAGCTACGGGCAGATCATTGTAGAAGACGCTCGGCGATGCACCTGTTGTTGCCTGACGTCGTTGTGCCCGGGGCGTTGACTGTGGACTGCCTTTGCCATTGCCATTCCCGTTGCCGTTGCCATTATCTGGAATAGGCAACAATTTATAGCCTTTCTTTGGGAATATGCAGCAGATTTTTGTAATAAGCTCGCAAAACGGCATTTCGAATGAAAATGCTAAAGTAACTGAGATAAGCTCTGGCCCGCAGAGCACTTATTTAAAGTACGGTTCTTGCTGGCTGCAACGGTAATGACAAACTGATTGCTTATCTGCTCTCAGCGCTACCGCCGAGGGTATACTGATTTTGTGAACACATTTGTAACACACTGCGAGGGGCATCAAAGTGCGCCTGGCTGCCTAATTCTTGGTTTCTTGTTCGGATCGGATATGATTCCCATTTGAATGGGAACGATTTGTTAAAAATTTACATCTACTATGATCAGATTTGTTATTTTTCTAAATATATTCTACATGCCTAGGTGGAAACACATATTTCTTGCTAAGCCATATATCTTGTTGTTCCAAAAACAATAAATAAATAAGTGAATTGTCTTTGGAAGAGCAGAAGCTGACTACTCAGCTAATAGATGAAAAAAATTTGGCACAAATTGTTTGTTTGTTTGTTAGGGTATCTAATCTTCGGTACTACGAAGATAACGCGTTCTTTGCTTATTTTCACTTTCGTTCGCGCCGTGTAACGGTGAGCCTAAGGCCAAAACCTTCGGTAAACAGCTGACGAGTGACTCGCCGGATGACGTCATGCGGCTTGGCTTACCTAGAAACTGGAGCTCCTGTTGCGCTTTCGCATTGCTCGAGCCAAAGTAGCCGGGTATAAAAGGCATAGGTGACATGACTACGCCGCCGCGCACGCCCCCCGCCGCCGCCGCCGCATCAAGGGCTCGATCAGATGGCGGCAGCGGCGGCGGTGGAGCTGGACGATTAAATGGATTTTGGCGTCGAGGCGGCGGCTTGGGCTTGCTCGGCGCATCCGTCACGGCCTGCGAGGGATCGCGGCGGTCGGTGTGCATTTCTGCAACAAAAAAGAGAGTTATTAAATTGATCAATCTATATGAGCATATTTGTTAGTCTCGCTTACTGTTGCGTGACTCTTCGATTTCCTGGAGCTGCCGCTGCAGTTCGGCGACAATAATCCGCTTGTATTCGTAGCCGGCGCACGTTAAGGCCTTCATCCAGGCCTCCATGCACTCCTGTGTGTCGGCTGCCAGTATGTAGGTGCGATTGCCATTGAACGCTATCTCAAAGCAATAATTATCCAGATCCGATTCCTGGGACAGTTCTATGGTGCAGCCCTCGACTATGATGAGCCCGAGCGGCTCCTTGTCCAGGCGCGTCTCGAAATAGAACAGCAGATTGCCTTTTAGCACAAAATAGCGTCTTTGAAATGCCTTATTTATCTCGCCTCGCTTGTTAAGAAAACCTGTGCGAATGATTAATAATAGCACTCATATGTGAGATAAGTATTTATATGTACATATGTATATTTTTTGTTAATTAACTAACCTTCCATGTCAAACGGCGGCGATCTGGCAAAAACACAGAGGTTCTTTTCGTTGATTTTCATTTTGATGCGTTCGGCTCATTAACTAAGAATGTTTGGGCCGTAAAAACATTTAAAATGAGCTTTGTTTGCTTTAATTTGGTAATAAGCACAAATGTATTTACATATCTATGTGCATAAATGCTTACATCAATTCATAAGCGTAGGCAAAACATATGTTTCTGACATCGACCGATGTAGCCACACCAAATTTAGATAAATAAACAATTTTTGTGATCTGACTATCGAGAGTTACTCATCTCTAGCAGACGTCTTCTTCTTAAGCATATAAATATTAACTTGAAAACTTCGCTAACATGTCTTATTTACTTACTGAAATTGCCCTCGAAATGCTGGGCTACAAGTTTTACGATACGAATGGCGTATTTCATTTGATCAACTTTCAACAATCGATGACAGCAGCGCAATCCGATTTGCAGGCGCACCCAGAGGAGCCAACGTTAATGGAGTATATTGAACAGCAATTGGACACTGAGCCGGACAAGAACGGACGTGATCAGCCACAGCCACCAACTGTTCCCTCAACGATTAGTCTGCGCGGCACACCTGTCCGTGCGCTGGCCAAAATGATGGAGTACGAGACCGACAAAATGCAGAATGGACACGAACAGCAGCAGCAGTCAAACCGTTTGAATGGTCCAGCTGAATCCGAAGCATCAATTGTGCTACCAAAAACGTCAAACAGTTTACGTCGTACTCCCGCCAAGGCACTGACTAAAATCATGGACTATGAGAACTTTAATATACGCAGTCAAATAATGCGGCGTATGGAGAAAGCGCTCAAGAAGGAAGCGCCAATTCCAAATGAAGAGGCGTTGCAGGGTTGCCTCAATGCAGAAGTGACGAAAATAGCCAAGGATGCTGATGATATGCATGAGTTTCGACAATTTTTGGAGGAGCGCCTTAGACACATTGATTCGCGTCCTTATGAGACTTACATACGAACGTTTGGTGTGGAATAGCTTCAAATGAAATCGGTAAAGTTAGGTATTGTTAAGGGTTAAATCATTAAAACATCAAAATAGAAAGCATAGTCCATTCGAAGAAACCGCTCTGATCCGTTGTTGACGAATTGCAATTTAGGGTAACACAATTTTTGCAGCTTTTGAAATACCAGGGTGCGAGTGTGTTCGTTTTCAGTGTTACCCCTCGTCCAAAGATGTCGATACATTTTGATGTTATTTTTCGTTTTAAGAGTGGCCACATATTTAATTATTTTACTAACGATAGACCGAGTCGCAACAGAGGCATCGATAGCAATCAGTCACACTACTCGCAGAACACCTGAGTAAAGGTCGGTCCACTGAACTTGTCACAAAAATATATAAAACTTTTTCTCAAAATTCTTTTTGTAAAACGTGCCTAAACACATACATTTTTTTATATTTTATCCTGCCCTGTTGCCTCGGCGAATAACAGGCAGTCCAGTGTCGCGACCCGATTGCGAAACAACGAGAGAGAGAGAAATACAAATATCATTTCGCACTCACGAACGGTGACGAAAACGCCAACGACGCTTGCATAATGAAAATCTGGACGTCCGAGCATGTCTTCAACCATCCGTGGGAGACGGTTACACAGGCGGCATGGCGCAAATATCCAAATCCCATGACACCCTCAATCATTGGCACCGATGTGGTTGAGCGCAGCGTAGTTAACGGTGTCCTACACACACATCGATTGGTTCAATCCAAATGGTATTTTCCGAGATGGACGCATGCGCTAATTGGCACCGCCAAGACGTGCTTTGCCAGCGAACGCTCCACAGTGGATCCTCGGCGCAAGCAGATGGTCTTAAAGACAAACAATTTAACATTTTGCCGTAACATAAGTGTCGACGAGGTGCTCTACTATGAGCCGCATCCCACTGATTCGAGCAAGACCCTGCTCAAACAGGAGGCGACAGTAACTGTCTATGGTGTCCCACTATCACATTATATGGAAGATTTACTGACCTCCACAATCAGTTCGAATGCGGGCAAGGGCCGTCAAGGGCTCGAATGGGTAATTGGCCTCATAAATACGGAAGTGAAGAGTATTGCCGATTCGGCTGCACGCGGCACAGACGAACTAATACACAGTACGCGGCGATCCATCGATGAGGTCACAGAGAGTGCGCGAAAGAGTATGGATGAGATTGGTGCCCAGGCAGCCAAAGCGGCCAAAGCAATGCACATAACATAGATGTATATACATAAATGAAAGGCGGTTGGGACTGTTGGGCGTAGTGAATAGGAATTTACCGTAGTAGGCGCATCGTCGGGTACGCTGCTTTGTAGTACAGCAACAACAACAAAACAAACCGACAAACGGTACATACATACAACAATAACAACAACAACAAAGCAGTTGAACGAATCATAAGAATAACCAATTATAATGCTTTATCCCTACGAATGGCAAGCGAAACATTTTATTCGTCTGCTTTAATATATATTTTGTAAAGCAATTAAAACAAATTTAAAAAATCAATAGAAGAAAATGTGAAAACTTTCCCATGGTTATCAGTCAAGTGCGCGTTGCTCTGTGGCGCGTTTTTTTTTGTTTGGTTTTGTTTTTGTTTTAGATTGGGCCAATGTACAAAGCCGATAAGGCAGGCAGCCAGGCAATGACAAGATTCGCGCAACAACACCAACACCAGCATAGTAGCAAATTTATTTATTAAAAAAAAGAAATATATGTATACATATATAGTTTGTAATATGCAAAATTTTTTAAAACAAAACATAAAATTGAAAAAACCACATAAATCGAGCACTAAATAAATGTCAACAAAACGCTCAAGAAAAATCATCAAGTACAAACGCTTTTCATTAATTTAATATACATATATGTTATATATGCTTGCATATATATTGCTGATTTGGCTGCCAACTATCATCGTTGATGACCGCTAAATTGATCGGAATACATGTATGTACATACACATACAATTTAAAATTAAATCAAGATAAGCCAAATATGCAGCTGTGTGAGTGCACACGTTTTGATAGCGTCTTCATTTCCTTGCTGTTTTTTTTTTTTTTTTGTTCCGGAAAGCTTTTGGCGATGTTGCTGCATGTGATTCGTAGCAGTTGCCATACGAGTCCGACAAACAACAACACAAATACAGGGCTGAAAGCTCTTCTCTTGTTGCTTTGTACCATTCGCAGTGATGAGCACGTGACACACAAACAAACATGCAGTTTGTATAATATATTTGTATAAAAAAATATGTATATTATATATATGAATATTTGCCAAATGATTACAAAGTGTAAAAGGCATTTAATTGCCAAAATAAAGTCAACTAATCATGGCATTAAATACAATAAAAAATACATTTTCGCTGGTTCACGGTTCAGACCAATGCATCCATTGAATGTGGTTCTAGTTCCAATTTTATATGAAATCAAATAAAAAAAAAAGGTTTGTTCATTATTTCACATATTTGTATTTTGGAAATTTGTAATATTCACTATATATTCACTGTATTTAGCTATCAAGGCTATATAAAATCTAGGCTAACAGCTTATGTGCCTGCTATACTAATAATAATAACAGCTAAAAATAACGTATTTTGTGTTTATTTGATATATGAAGTTCTCACTGAAGCAATATACAATTTGGTAATTAAAATGAGGGTTTTATTGAAAGGTTGCTTAATGTCGAAATATAAAATAATCACCTAGAATATTTATTAAAATGTTATACGAACCCTTAACTAAGTATACCCTTTATGTAATTACTACTTAAGCACGGTATAGCCAAAAGCTTTAAACAGCTGTTGTGAACTTCTCATCCCCAGTTGCCAATTTGACGCTAATAAAACGTGCGCATCGTGCTTAGGCTCTCTCCCTCTTTCTCACTCTCTTTAAGTCCCAGTCCCAGTGTTCTTTGCGCTGTTCATTTGCACGTGCACGTGCGCGTCGCTTACTGTATTCCAATTTGGGTTAGTTAATTTATAATTTACTACTATTTGTATTTTAATAGCAACAACTAGTCGTGTTTGTGCTGGCAAAAAAAAAACATGTTTACGCTTTTGCCGTTTATCAGCGCGTTCCAGTAATAATAACAAAAACAAGAATCAAATTGTGACGCCAGTGCAACGACTGCAATTGCAATTGGGCGTCTGCTGTAACTCGAAGCGCTGATCTGTGGTTGATAACCCCCTGCCAGGGCGATTCGTAGGCAGCTACCGCTCCAGTTGTCAACGGCTTTGACAGCCTCGCCAGATTCCAGACCGCGAGCCAGAGCTCAGTCTGGCTGAGAAGCGTCTAAGGAACGCACGTACAAAATTGGACTTAGTAAAAAAACGACAAAAGTAAGAATTTTGCAATAGGCATTAGGGTGAAAACAGCTGAAACACGAGTAGGCGAGAACCTTTGTTAAGATAGTTGTGAAAATGGGCGTGGCAGCAATATTTCTTGTTAAAACGTGTATTGCAAAACAGTGTATTTAAAACTGAGACGGTGGCTTTCAAACTGTCCTATTTATTATTGTGTGCGTATGTGCGTATGTCGATTTCTTGTGACTTATGAGCGCAGTCGTTGCAAGCGTTGTTCAGGCGAAAGTTACATATGTATGTACATACATATGTATATTTTTATCCGATCAACTCAATTTTAACACCACCAATATCAGGAAGTGGAGCGAGGGGTGTAAAATAAATACAAATGTTTAAATGTAGGTTTTGGCTGCACTAGCACGGATAATCGCATTGGCAGAACGCCTTTATCCAAAGACTTGATACTTTGTGAGCGTGGGAGTCAATTTACTTATCTGCTGCTGACACGCCATTGGTGCTGATAATTTTGATCCCGTTACCTGCAAGCTGCAGTTGCTGCCAGTGAGCAAGTATAATGGATGTTCTGAGCGAGCGAGATGCCAAATTGATCAGACTTATCCATATAGCCGAGAGCGCTATTGTGTAAGCAAAAGGCATTGTGGATAATATGCGCAGAGAAGTGTTAGTGTATTAGTGCAAATGCCGGCTTAGCATAGTCGTGTGCTCAATGAGAGGATTTAGTTTGTGCGCGTTTATCTTTATGATCGGTCGTGCCCCGGGGTGCGCGTGGGTGTAAAATCGTTTTCAAGCAAAGTTAATGTTATTAACCGGCGCCGCGCTTTGTTTGTGTCGTGTGTATTTGTTTTACTACTATAATTAGCCATCCCCTCGCACTGCATCCGTTAAGGTATATTCACCAATTTGAAGAATTTCATTCAATATTTGGTGTAGAGCTTTTTTCACATTTGCTGCCTGAATAGAGAGGGAGAGGGAAAGAGAGTGTCTGTGAGTGTGTGTGTGTGTGCTGAGAAGCTTTTATTTAAAAACAGCTGCAGTTAAGTAAACTGCAGTTAGATTTTTTTGCATGCGATCAATTTAAAGCTCATTTTAAAGATTTATAATACGGTAGAAATGCGTAGGTCGTGTATAAACAGTGAAAACTCTGAAAATGAACCAATCTTTGGCAGGCCCATGTGATAGTTCCATTAGTTTAGTTAAATTAAATTAAACATTTTCGATTTATTTTCTAAAACGAAAGTAATCAGTTTTCAAAAAAAAAATTTTGTATTTATAATTAACATAAAGAGGATGAGTTTATTTGACGTGACTTTTAAGCGGGCATTTTTCTAAGTAGAATTAAAAAAAAAAATATTTTTTTTTTCAATAATAAGTTTATGCATATATAATTTATATAATTTCTGAATTCTTACCAGCTAATCGATAATGGGCATTCTGCGATTTTACGATGTGGCTGCCTTCGATGGTGCCGAGGAGGAGCGCGTACTGCAGCGCCTGCAGTCGCTCGACCCGGAGCTGATCTCGGTGCGCATGGAGCGTTGCTATCACCTGGAGTACGACACTGATATGTGCAGATTTCCGCTCGCGCTGGAGCATCTGCTGCGCTGGCTGGTGAGGCAGCCGCTCCAAAGGATATGCAGTCTCAACGAGCAGACGAAACTGGAGTTGAATGATGCGGAGCTCGAAATGCTCGTGGAGATTGGACCGCGTTTCAACTTCTCCACACCCTACTCGACCAACTGTGTGAATATCTTTCAGAATTTGGGCTATACCGAGGTGCGACGCATGGAGAGCTCCATTCGTTATCTGCTGACCTTTGCCCGGGCAGCGAGTCGTGAGGTCGCCAGCTTTGTGGCGCTGCTCGGCGATCGGATGACCCATTGCCAGTATACGGCGGCGAATATGCCGCGCGAGAGTTTCGACGAGCAGCTGCCGGCCCAGTTGGCTGCCTGGCATTATGTGCCAATGATGGCGCAGGGACGCGCCGCTCTGGAGGAGATTAACCGAGAGTTGGGCTTGGCCTTCAGCGACTACGACTTGGACTTCTATTACAAGCTATTTTCGCAGACGCTGAAACGTGATCCCACCACAGTCGAGCTGTTCGATTGCGCCCAGAGCAATAGCGAGCACTCCAGACATTGGTTCTTCCGCGGGCGCATGGTGTACGAGGGCCAGGAGCTGCCCAGCTCGCTGATTGAACTAATTATGGACACGCAGCGGAATACGAATCCGAACAATACCATCAAATTCAGCGATAATAGCAGCGCCATTGTCGGCTTCGAGCATGATGCACTGCAGCCGCGAGAAATCGGTGCGCCCAGCATTGTGGAATTGCGCACTGTCCGTTCGGATTTGATATTCACAGCCGAAACGCACAATATGCCCACAGCTGTGGCGCCTTTTAGTGGCGCCACCACCGGCACCGGTGGTCGCTTGCGTGATGTGCAGGGCGTGGGTCGTGGTGGCCTGCCCATAGCTGGCACCGCCGGCTACTGCGTGGGCGCCCTTCACATACCCGGCTACAGTATGCCGTATGAGCCAGTCGGGCTCAAGTATCCCGGCTCCTTTGCACCGCCGCTGCAGGTGCTCATGGAGGCCAGCGATGGCGCCTCGGATTATGGCAACAAGTTTGGCGAGCCTCTCATATCCGGTTTTACCATATCCTATGGCCTGTACAATGCCGGCCAGCCCAATACGCGCGAGGAGTATGTGAAGCCGATTATGTTTAGCGGCGGCTTGGGCACCATGCCCGCTGCCATGCGCCAGAAGGTAACGCCCAAACGTGGCCAGCTGCTGGCCAAGATTGGCGGTCCTGTTTATCGCATTGGCGTCGGCGGCGGCGCTGCCAGCTCCGTGGAGGTGCAGGGCTCCGGAGATGCTGAGCTCGATTTCAATGCCGTGCAACGTGGCGATCCGGAAATGGAGAATAAACTGAATCGCGTGGTGCGCGCCTGCATCGAACTGGGCGCACTTAATCCCATCTTGGCCATACACGATCAGGGCGCTGGCGGCAATGGCAATGTGCTGAAGGAACTGGTTGAGCCAGACTTTGCGGGCGCCATCATCTTCTCGGAGGAATTCAAACTCGGTGATCCGACCATTACAGCCTTGGAGCTGTGGGGCGCCGAATATCAGGAGAATAATGCGATTCTTTGCAAGCCACAGGATCGTGAATTGCTCGAAAAGATTTGTGCCCGCGAACGTTGTCCCATTAGCTTTGTGGGCGTGGTCACCGGCGATGGCCGGGTCACATTGGTGGAGCACGCCGCACCCAATGACATGGAGCAGGCATTGCTGCCCGAGGCGCGTAAAAGCTACGGTGCTGCGCCCTTCGATCTGGAACTAAAGCATGTCCTGGGTGACATGCCCAAGCGCAGCTATGAGCTGAAATCCGTAATGAATCCATGCAAACCGCTCCAGCTACCCGCTGATATACGGCTAACGGATGCACTGGAGCGTGTGCTGAGCATTGTTGCGGTGGGCAGCAAACGCTTCCTCACCAACAAGGTGGATCGCTGT